CATCTCCCAACACCCTCTATCCCCTTCCAACACCCTCCAACATCTCCTAACAACACCATAACACCTCGTAACACCTTCTAACATCTCTTAACACCTATTGACGCCAAATATGATTCATGCCATATCCTCACACATCATGTTTTCCAGATACAAAAAGGTAAGTATCGAAAAAGAATTAAAAATTGTTCCACCTCTTCGAAAATCATATTCCACTGATACAAAAAGGTAAGTATCGAACCAGAATTAACAATTGTGCCACCTCTTCGCATATCATGTTCTTCTGATACCAGGAGTAAAATTACGACCAAAATTCGATACGTACCAAAGATTCCTCGTGCCACCTCTTCACATGTCATGTTCTCCTGATACCAGGAGTAGAATTCTGACCAAATTTCGATACGTACCAAAAATTCCTCGTGCCACCTCTTCGCATTTCATGTTCTCCTGATACCAAAATGCAGAAAGCCAGAATTTTATACGTACCATGAATTCCTCGTGCCACCTCTTCACATATCATGTTCTCCTGATACCAAAATGTAAAATCGGTCCAGAATTTGATACGTACCAAAGATTGCTCGTGCCACCTCCTCGCATATCATGTTCTCCTGATACCAGGAGTAGAATTCTGACCAGATTTCGATACGTACCATGAATTCCTCGTGCCACCTCTTCACATATCATGTTTTCCTGATACCAAAATGTAAAATCGGTCCAGAATTTCAAAATGTACCGAAAATCAGCCCCTTGATTTAGGCAACCTGTACTGACAGACATGTCGGCCGGTTGCCCGTCCGTAGGCGCAAACGTGCCACCTCATCGCGTATCATGTGCTCCTGATACTAGGAGTAAAAATCCGACATTTCCCGTCACAATTTTGAGAGGAGCGATTTGCAACATTGTTGAAGTTCTGAGAGAATCGATTTGCAACATTGTTGGGTTTGCAACATTGTGGATGTTTCCGGGAGGATCGATTTGCAACATTGTTGGGTTTGCAACATTGTGGAAGTTTTGGGAGAATCGATTTGTAACATTGTTGAAGTTTTCAGCGGGGCGATTTGCAACATCGTTGGCTTTGCCAAAATCCAAATTGGCCAGAATTCCGAAACGTGCCGAAAATTAGCCCCTTGAATTAGGCAACCTATGCTAACAGAACGCAAACGTGCCACTTCTTCGCATATCATGTTCTCCTGATACCAGGCGTCAAATTCTGACCAAATTTCGATACGTACCATGAATTCCTCGTGCCACCTCTTCGTGTTCAATAAAATTGCATCTCAAAAGTTAAGCAAAATATGAAAAATCGGTAAAATCGCTTTGAGATTTTTGGAGATGTTCGCAGGAGTTAGGAAGTGTTAGGAAGTATTATGAAATGTTTGGTAGTATTAGGAGATGTTTAACAGGTGTTAGGAAATGTTAGCGGTTGGTTAGTGTTAGGGATTGTCAGGTGTGCTGTCATATTTTGTCAGAGGTAGTAGTCAGAGACTGTCGAGGACTGTCAGGTGTTGGCAGGGGCTATCAGGGGCCACATCAGGAGTTGGCTGGAGCTGTAGGGGTTTGTCAGAGGCTATCATGTGGTGTTAGGGAATGTCAGGAGTGATTGGATCTGTGATCATGATCAGTCCACTGGATGCATGCAATTATAAGCATGGGAATGTAAGAATTTAAGAATTGATGTAGAACAATGTAACTGCGTTATGAACAAAAAATACACACGTACAAGACTCATGAATTGTAACAAGCAAGCTTGGACCAATAGGTACAATAATCAATGTAAGATGATAACGTATGCGTATAAAATAAAGAAACAAACATGCGAGAAACTACTGTGGAATGTCCTGAATACGACGCAGATTTTAGCTGTAGGATACATTCAAAATGCTGAAGCGTCCTCGTTACTACGTTGGAGATGGCCCTGTTCGAACCCTCGTAGAGTCGGTGCACCGACGGTACGCGTGACCAACATACGACACGGTACACGGCGCGTAAAAGGTACACAGCCCTCCGAGAAATTGGACATCGACGCGGCAGCGTAATAGGCCAGGGGCTCGCTGCACGGAAAGTTCAAGTTACCGTCGCGTTAACGATCCCGAATGATAGCGCTGCGCCTCCGCTTATTACGCCGTTACGTATTTTTACACGCGAAAGGGAAATTACACGGTGTCGAGCCGCGATCGGGACCGAACTCAGCGGTCGTCGGACATCCGTTCGGTTGACGCTGGAAACAGGGTCATTTCACGACCGCGACAAATCGATCACACTTCGCGGTGCATTTCAGTTTAAGTCATTGATTTACTATTTTCAATTTTTGTTTAGGATATACTCGATATTGAACTCCTCTGTCATTTTTAATCATTTAGATGAAAACAAGCTACGTATAAATTAATTGTTATCTCCGAAACTATCAATTGTAGATAAGTTAGGTGCTCACCTGGCTCGAACTGTTCTAAGAAACGACGAGGATAACTTCGTAGCAATCCGAGGGACGAAATTTGAAACAATCCGAAGGACATCGCTGCATTTGTAATGAGATAAAAGGCAGCCGGCCGTACGTCCGACCAACCTGGTCAATTAAGTCGTTGCTGCGCGTTCACCGATCGAATGGACAGACCTCGGCTCGTTAATCCTCTTACCACGGAACAAACTCTACCCGTGTAAACGATTAAAGCGATGACGCAAAGAACCGGCCAACCGGCAACGGCGATCAACACGCGGGAGCTAGCCGTAGGGTACATTTTGTTGCACCGTTGGCGTTGTTACGTGCTGTCGCTGAACGTTCTTGAAACCTTCGAAAAGGACTAAGAGACTTTAAGAGCGTGGTTTCCATGTACAATGATCACCCCGACGTCCATTTGTGACGACGATGTTGATAGCTTGTTATGAGAATCACAAGAACTACGACGATAAAGACCTGTGTGTGTGTGATGTGGACCCTTCATGCAAAACAAAATCTTTGTAAACGTACTTACAAAGATAAACCTAAATATTAGGTTGTCCCAAAAGTTTCTTTCGCTTTATTAATAAGTAATACACGCACAATAGTTTGTGTTTTATGTTACGTTACTAAATTGTGCACGATTCATTTTGCTCCGTTACTGTTACAACATAAATATACATGAAATTAGATGGTCTATTTATATAAACACCACGTCAAATAATTGTGCGCAACTCGCGAAAGAAACTTTCGGGACAACCTAATAGATACAAACAGAAACTTTTATTCTTATTTATCACCTTTGATATCCTATACGAGGCTTCCATCCAAATAAGAATTGTACATCACTCCCCGTAGCTCGAACCCAAGGACCTGCTTCGTTATAAACGCGCCCCAAAACAGGAACGGACGAAAACGAGTGCGCGTAGGGATAAATAAAGCTGCGACTGGCTGTTCGCCTCTCAGTCGACTGAATTAACCGTAATAACAGATGCATTTAGCCGCGACATTCAAAACTTGCGTACGAAATACCATCGGTGTTCCGCTACTCCCACCCTCTCCGTCGTTTCATCCTACCCTGTCGGCCAATTTCCTCACCCCTTTTACCGCCGTCCCGTTCCATCGGTTCTGCCGCGTTGCATATCATTACCATGCAAATACGCCTGGCGTGCGGCAAAGCCCGTGTAAAATCGTCCCTTCCCTCTTCGCTTCGCGCCCCAGCGACATTCAGTCCCCCCTCTCTAACCCCCAACTCCCACGCGGCGGTCCACAAGTCCCCCCTCCACGCCGCGACGGCTACCCAGTCACATATGCAAAACGTGCCACTATTATAATAACATTACGCCGATGAACCTTCCATTGAATATGCGCTCCGCGAGCGTGGATTGCATCGCTAATTACGTACCGGGTGGCGCGATTCGCACGAGACCCTCCCCCTCTCTCCGTGCGATTTTAACCCCTTCGGGCGCGACGCGACTTTCAATCTCAAGTGGCGCGATACGTGGCATGATGTTCAAATTTCAAACTGTTTTCTCATGATAAAAACGAAATTTATATGGGAGAAGGTACTGCGTGTGTTTTTACGTGTTACGTGTTGCAAATATAAATACATATAGAATAGTAATAATGATATAGTACATGTTAGATTGGTTGGAAGATAAAACATAGGAAGATAAACATCGTTCAAGTCTGATTTCTTTACCCGAATCTGGAAAAGTATCGAATTTGCATAAACATTCGCAAGCTAATTATGTAACAGCGAGATAAGGTTTGTAAGAGGCTTGTTTCACAAGAATTAATTCTCTACCGCAACAATTCTTAACCGAAGTGTTCCTAAAAGCCTCGATTAATAACCAACTAACTTCAAGAACAAGAATTACCAATCAAGAGTTACTCGAACACTCCTACACCTCCATCTCGTAGTGTCACAGTTCCTCCCCAAAGCAGTGACACTTTCCAGCCAGGTGGTTTCTCTGGTTCTCTATTTTTATTCGTTGCATTTTGGTAACCGACGTTTGCCCTACACGGATGTCGCGTTGCCGCAATTTGTTTCCAAGTGATGATCGCGGAAAATGCGCGCGACAACCGACACGTAGCGGTATTTTTTTTTTTTTTTTATCGGCGAGGTGGTGTCGTGATTTTCGCGACACGATCCCTCCGGCGTTGCGACTAAATATTGTTGATGTCGCGTCTTTTTCCCTCTGACAGGGAACTCTGTTGCTGGACCGTTGACACGTTTATGGGAAACCAGCAACCCCGCGGACGGGGGTGACGCCCTTGTTTTATAGTTTCGGTGACGGGCGCGGCGCGATCGCGATCCACGCTGCGGCGTTGATTGTCCAGCGTCAAAGGTGGCTGTTATTCGGATAAATTCTAGTTGAAATCATCATCCCATTACAGATTTATTCGAGTGAAATTTTATTAAAATAAACTTGGCGGATTGAAAAAATTAAATTAATGTATGGAATGAAGTTGGGATTTTTCGAAAAGTATTTGCTACAATGAGTAAATTTAAAGATATTTTTCATGCATTTTGTTATAAATTTCAAGTTATGATATCAAACATGAGATCATTACGTTATTGTATGACCTATTAAAATTCTTATCATTATACTATATTCATTATGAAAATCTAAAAAGAATGTACACGTCATGCTACATTGATTCCAAAGGCTGCTTCTAATTGTAAAGTTAATAGAAATGACACAGTTGATAATTAAAACAATCCAAAAAGTGAAATGTATCTTTAAAAATAATTTTATCGCAAAAGATGACATCAAGCACATAATTGACCTAATTTCGAAAAGCAGGTCTCCTTGTTATCAAAATTGTATATGCTTGTTATAAAAGTATTATAATTAATTACTTGTTCGGTTTGGTATTAATTCCTCTTACCTTTGAGAACAGCGACTCTGCTGAAAGATAAGATTTCTACCGAAACGATTTATTAGTTAAATCGTCTCTTCTTAACCGGTTTGATTTAGGCTACGAAATGAGTCAACCGATTTAGTCTCGAGTATCACTTTTTATTTAATCGTCTCTCGTCTCGATTCAGTTATATTCTCTAAGCCTGACAATATTTACACGATTCAACTGTTTCCTTTACTTAAACTTCGCTTTCCGTCTCACTTTTAGGGGACGTAGAAAAATATGACGGTATACTTAAAGACTGATATATAATATATAATATGTATACGTATATACAAAATGTACAAGGGGGAACGCGATACGAATACCGACGTTTATTCTAATTAATGCGCGGTCTTCGTCGTCAAACACGATTGCACGCAGAACGAGCTGGACGAACTCGATTCAAGACTCCCTTTGATAAAAATGATTGCTCGGAACATCGTTCGTCGATTTCGATAACACGCTGATCGGACAGAAACGAAGCATACGCAATTTCCATCGTCGTCGATAGTAGAAATTTCATTATCACTTGCTCCGTTTCGTCCAATACGGATTCGACGATTCTCCGCGCTTGGTTCGTTTCGCTCGTGTAACAACAACAACAATAACAAGAACAACGGCAACAAAACGTCTCTCACAATGTCGCGCAAGAACTATGTACACCCACGTTGAGAAGAGTTCACTTTCGAGAATGATTTCGGTGTTCCGTTGCGGTCTCGTTCAGTACATGACCTCGTAGACGGTCGCCTTCTTGTCACCAGACCCGGTGACAATGTACCTGTCGTCCGCAGATATATCGCAGCTCAGCACCGACGACGATTCCTTCGACTGGAAACAGCACAAGACACGTTCTACGTCAAGACGCGGTCGCGAGGATTTGCAATGGAATGCGACGCTCTCGTATTTTTTGCGACTCTACGCGACTCGAACTTTTGCATTCGACATTTTCCGACTTACATATTCGATAGCTTTAGAAAATATAAACGAGTTTCGAATTTAGGGATTCGTAAGTCATTGAATTATGCAGTGAATGGACGTTCGGAGGAGACATCCCAGAAAGTGCTGATGTTTGTGAATTTTTTCCGGATGTACTAAATGTCTAATGTAAAAATTACAAAGATGTACTAAAGATATATATTTTGAAAAGTATTTCTGCCAATTTTCATTCAAATAGGTTGATTTATATAGAATATATGAAGGTTCACCTAACGTGACACTGAAATTTTCGAACCACATGATGATAATACACTGTTATTATCAATGTATAATAAATTAATCGTTATACACGACATTGTTTTCATTTTGTATATACCTGGAAACAATTTCACTTAAATACAATTTAAAAAACAAAAAAAAAAAAAAAATATGTTCTCGAGAAGAACGAATTTGCCAATTTTCCATACGATGCAAATAGCTTAATACAATGACAAACGTTACTCGAATATTTCCGATTACTTAGTATTCTCAAGAAACCTGTTTTCCCTGGACACCTCCCATAGTCTACCCACTGAACAAGCCCTTTACGATGCTTGCAAACGCTCACCTGGAATATCGAGGCTCCGTAAGGCGTGCGCCACGCGTTCAGCAGATTGTCCTTGCCGGTGGAGACGAACCACTTGCCGCAGGAGGCGAATCTCAGAGACAGGACGCAGGACTCGTGCAAGTGGAGTTGATACTTGTCGGGCTTGGTGGCGTGCAGCACCTCGACGTTCGAGTTCTCCATGCCCACGGCCAACCACTCTCCCGTAGGACAATAGCCCAGAGAGAATATCTGCGAGGTGAAGTCGTGTTGTTGGAGCTGCCTGCCCTCGCGGAGATCCCACGAGCGCACCGTGTTGTCCAGACCACCTGTCCACAGCTTCGAGCCGTCCGCGGAGATGTCGATGCACGACGCGCCGTCCGTGTGACCTTGGAACTGTCTGACCAGCGTCTGATTCTGGAGATCCCAGACGGCGATGTTACCGTCGCTGCAGCAGCTGAAGCAGACCTTCGAGTCGGGCGAGATGGCCAGAGCGTAACAGGCGGGAGCGGAAGAGATTAATTCGGCCTTGATCCTCGGCGTCGGGCTCGCCAGATCCCAGATACTCAGCCGACTGGCCTCACCCCCGACTATCAGGGTCCTACCGTCCGGTAGCAGTTTCACCGACCTGGACATATCGCGTTAAACTCCATTGTAGGAATGTTTTTTACTTTTGACGGGAAAGGTAAGATGATACAGGAGCGAATCCGTGATTATTATTCATATTATTATTATTGTTGTTGTTGTTGTCGTTGTTGTTGTTGTTAAGGTTCCCTTGGTGATGGTGTATTATTATTGGTAATACGTATGAACAGACTGCGGATGTTTGTGCAGATTCGTATAAAGAATTGCGATTTAAACGAAGATATGTTTTAATTTCTAAACAGTGTAACCTGATATTATTAAAGGACAGAGGAAAATTAAAAAATTAAAATTTTTATCGTACGAAATGATACTATTGATGCTTATATTATCGCGGGAAATTCGACCAAGAGCTTGGTTTCGCCAAAATCGAAAGGTGGTAATCATTTTTGCGCGTCGAAATCAGCCGCTGAAGTGCGCCGACGTGATTAGCAACTGCGACCGATGGATCGTAAAGTACCTTTTAATGCGAGGGACGCGCGTGCATTACCGGCGAAACGTATTAAATTTGCCCGGCCGACGTCGGGCATCCGCGTAGCGAAAAAAATAAAAAGATATAATAAAAAAAAAAAATATAAAAAATGTCGCGGCAGGGGTTCAATTACCGCGGGTATCGAACCAGACATTAACAGTCATACCCGACGCGAATATTATTCTACCCTTCGACGTCGAAAACGTGAGCCGCGCGCAAATGCATGGTAAAAATGCCGAACGTCGCGTTTATTCTATCAGCGGGCGGTCCGATGTGATTTTTCAGCGTTTCGCCCACGGAATACAAAATTTCCAATGTTTCGCGTACACACGCGCGCGCGCGCGAAAGCTTTCCCGTTTAACCCTTTCGCTTTGAAACGAGGGGGATTGCCGTCAGGAATGCTCGTGAATATTGTAGAATGAATACGTGACACGATTGTTGTTGTTGTTGCGTGTGACAGGCTGTAACCTATATAAAGAACCGTAACGTGGATATCAATTGATAACTTGTTATACCGAGTCTCTTGCGATCTGCATTCCGCTGACTGTTTATTTGGATTGTTCGTTTGGCATTTAAAATGATATTTTTGGGGGAACAAGAACAACATTCATGAATTTATTAATTGCCACACGATCTGTGATAGAGATGGGGAAGGATTGAATTATTCATAAACTTGAGGATCGAAGCAAACATTGAAATTTCGATATAGTTTGCGATGGGAACAATAGAAATTGGAATATTCGCACAGATTACGATCTAAGCAGTAAAGATTGCATCTTTTACATAGGTTGTGATCCATCGTTAAAAAAAAAGTCACTAAACATGGATCGAAGAAACTGCCTTTAAAGAAAATATTAAAAAATCCAAACAACCCCAAAAGTGCTGTTTAACAATAACCTAAAAATCGTTTCATTCATAGAACTCTTTCTTAACAAATAAAAATGCATATCCATGTGTGATAATTACGAAGTTAACCAAGAGAACCACTGACCTGATGTAGTTATCAGGTTGCAGACAGTCGAGCTGCGATACCGATTTCGTACTTCCTGTACCGCCCTGTCCAATGTCCCAGACCTTGACGCATCCCTTGCCGCCGGTGTATACATACTTGGTCGGATTCGAGATCGTGACGGCGCACACGACCTCCCCGTGACTGAGGGTATTAATTTGCCTCGCATGACGCGGTATCCCTTGTCCGATCAGCGCATCCGGTGGGAAGGGCACCGGCTGCATCTGGCCCTCGCTCGACACGTGGAAGCTGTACGCACTGGAACATCGTGAAAAAAATGCGACTCGTGCGGTGAAACAGGTGTGTTTACCAACGATAGCTGCGCGTTGTTCCGGACACAGCCGATTACCGATCTAGACATCTCGTCTACGTTTAACGAAACTAGATAAGTTAATGGCGAGAACGATGTACTGGCGGGTCTTTCCCTGCATTTATTCGCAACCATTCATTTTCATGAATTGGATGTTCTTTTTTTTTAACGGGGTAAAACGTAAGATTCTGGGTAAGATTAAGGTAAGACTGGGTAAGATTCAACGTTGCATAGGTGAAGAGTGTTCCAGAAAGGGCTTTAGAATTTTCGTTTTTAATCAAATAAGAATGGTATGGATGCATTCAAAAATTCTAAATTCCTTTTTAGAAACCCTCCATTTGCAAGGATAATTAAAAGTATTTTCGTTAATTATTTTTAGGTATGTTATATCGACAGATGTGTGTTAGTACAAGGCTTAATTTTGTTCATCTTGCATGTACACCTTTATAAAGTACTGTAATAAATGAGATAAATAAATATATTGACATATTGAACATATTGAAGTCACGCGAGACACGACCAGTATCGTTCAATGATTTCGTTAATGAATTTTTCGTAGAATGCAACAGTGCTAAATATTCCGGGGTATATTTTCAAACTATCAAAAGATGTAACGACAGTATTCACAGATACTAAAAGCGATTCAAACCAAACATGTCGAGTTTCGAGATTCTCTATTTTTACCTTTTACGCCTGTCTCCTTACTGAAAGAAACACATATTTGCATAAATAATAACGACGCGATATATTCTAAGCACTGATTTAAATATCACGTCACATCCGTGAACGTTCGACTATCTATATTTCTCGCAATCGCGCGCTATCGTGCACATTAGCGGATACGAGAAAAAAAAGCTTTCACTTCCACTATGTGCAATGTTGCCTATCAGTTTTTATCTTCAACATTAATCTCGCCGCGCAGACATTTGTCCTAAAGCAAATATATCGATAGCGCGTCGTATTTCAACCGTTTCCAACTGCAATAAACAACGGGATCGCTGAATTTTCATAGCAAACAAAATCGCTGATAACGGGCCCCGCCTCCAGAGCAAACGAACGTCAAACGGCGTTCAACAAAAACCGCATTGTACCTTGCATCGACGTCCGATCTTTCGCTAGAAATGCAACAGAGTACGCGTTCAATGGCATTCGTCACTGTAACGTATCGCGAATGCACCTTTCCAGGCGTGAAAACCGAAATCTTCGACAAACAAACGCGTTCCTTATCGCGACGACTCGAAACCGCCGACTGGAAACTTCCACGTTGCGCGCAGAATTTCGGAGAGATTTGTTGAACAAATTCTTTATTCCTCCGTGGCCCGTAAACTTGTTAAATATTAACTTTCGATATCCCTCGTTAAATATTAAACGTCGCGCAATCGAATTATCTTATCTTGAGACACCGTCGGTACCAAGACGTTTTTCATCCGCGCGAGAGCAAACAGCTGTGTGGTTACTTAGTCTTCGTTCGATTTAGATTTGTTTGAAGAACTGGCATCGAGGGCCTCGGGAACGCGGCCGTCACTCGTCTAACCTCTACGAGACGTCGATATCGAGTGACAAGGTAAATCTTGATAATTTCGAACGAGCCACGATTTCGTTGAGAGTGATCTGGGTTTTGAACTTGACGATTTGGAGTTAGAGAAAAAATGTGTGGGCTAGAGGTGTGGTAAATAAAGGGAGAAGAGTGATAACGGTGGGCGTTTGCATTTAGAAACGATGCCCCAGGAAAGATTTATGTATAGTTTGTCAAATTGTTACAGAGACTGAGGAGATTTCTCTATTTTAAGAAAACAACAACGTTAGTGTTAGATAACGTTAGTTTTAGTGTGCCTCTAATATTTCGAACTTGGTAGCGGTACATACTGAATAGTTAATTCAATTGTGGAGCCATATAATTAATTTGTACACCTAAGAATTTTCGATTTGTTGGATATTTATATTCAAATAAATATATATGGAACAGAGTAATGTTCCCACTGCGTATTTATTATGGATAAAAACAAAACAAGGTAAACGTAAGGTTAAGTATGTACAACGATGTGAGGTTGCTAGTAACACGGTCAGCTAGGCAACCTCTCGGTTTGCAAGCGCGGATAGAACTGCCTGTCGCACAAAATTCGAAGCTATTCCTCGGGTCGTCTTCGATATCCAGGTAGTCGACAGCGTCGACGAGTGTCCCGATTGTGCGAACACGGTTTATGACGCTAAGTCTAAATTGCCGTGTTAGGCTCACGTATCGAGTGCGTACAGTTATTCAGGGGAAGCAAAAATATCTAGCAACCTCAATAAAGCCCGAGTTTGGCGACGAACTCGGTGTCGCATCTGGCTGTGGAGTTTTTCCTACAGTATTCAAAATACTAGTTGATTTTAGCTAAAATCCAACGCGATTATTTTAACTACTTAAAATTTGATGTCGAATAAATTTGAAGTCTATTATTTCAGAACTAAGGAAGTTGGTATTCTAACGTTACAAAATGATAGACATTTTTACTTAAACTAGTGTTCAAATCATCGAATGTGAAGGTACAATAATCCTAATCCTAATCATTAAATTCACCCTTTAATAACCACTGATCCTAACAAACTAAAAATGTGTAAATATAAAACTAATTAACATTCCTTACTATTTACACTGAATACTCCCAACGGAAGATATAGAATGAACTGCTCCAGCTAAAGAATGTTTCCATCTAAAAAAAGAAAAATCTCATCCCGAAATGGGTTAAGCATTCGAGAGCTACAAAGATTCCAGAACTAATTAGTCTTTGACGCTAGACCATGGGCCACCTTAACCGTTAGTCACTGTCAGCTAATTTCCAAGAATGCCAAGACTATCCTCGAAAGGGCGAAATTAACAGCCGTTCCTCTGCTAAAGCTACACCGTTCGACTAGTCACTCCCACGAAACCACAGGTTCTGCCAATCACTCTGCCAGTCATCTGTCTGCTCTTTGTAGAAATAACAGATCCGTCGGAACTTGTCTTAATGTCAGGAATAATTTCACGCGTCACTGACAGAACGCCAACTTTCGTATGGGCAATATTGAAACACTCGAACTTTCATCGAGAACTCAGTCAATCATTCGACAGCACATGCTCGTTTCTACAGGGTGGCTCAAGAATCAACTTGCACACCTTCATTAAAGTTTCCTCTTGATTGTGAGCTCCTATTTTTTGTAAACAAAAGTTACGTGGAGACACGTTCTGTAACCCATACAGTCAGTCTCATAAATATTCATATCCTTTATTAAAGAAGTTTGTCTAAATCAAATAATAGGTTCGATGTTTCCAAATCAATGTTTCATTAGAACGTATATGTACATGGGTAAACTTTACATTTGTACAGACATCACGAAGACTTTATTTGGAAACATCAAACCTATTATTTAATTTAGATAAATTCCTTCAATAAGCACAGAGGGTACAAATACTTATCGGCCCGACTGTATGTTCCTTTTACAAATGGAGTTTTAGTAATTTTAACTATAGAATTTAATATTTACGTATTATTTATTTTCGTGTTTTATATCAAAATTTACGAATTCTATTCAGAGTTATTTTCATTCATTCCTAGTCCTCAAAATCGTTGACGTTTTAGCGAGAAGCTCTGTCAGCCAGTGTATGGGGTGACGTGGCGTCAGCGATGGGCAAAACCCTAGAACATTTTCCAAAGAAGGAAAAGAGACCAACATATCGGCAAGCTTCAGATTTATTCGAAGTCTAGGGTTTTGCCCATCGCTGCGTGGCGTTCAGCTTGTTAAAAAATGTAGTCGGATCAATTGGTCCAAGAAGAGTGGAATAGTACTCACGGTTTGCCTCCAGGTACAGCGACCGATCCCATGGGAGTCCTCATGGCCACGTGGGGGTCGTACAGTTGCTGAAGCGAAGGTGGAGCTCTAGGCGCCACGTAGCCGTTATAACCCATCATGTCGACGTGTGGATGTTGACCAGCTGGTCCCAGATGGTGGGACGGTGGCCCAGGGGGATAGTGAGGCGGATAGGCGCTGGGTACACCAGGAGGCGGCGGTCCTTGATGGAGCTTCGCCGATCCCGAAGGCTTCAGACCGGATCCACCCAGCGCGGAGCCCGAGGTTGGCGTCAGGGGCTTCGAGATCGGTGTCGTTGGCTTCTCCCGTTCCTCCATCTTCTTCGCTGATGGTGTGCTGGCGTTGCTGCTGGTCCCACTCCTCGGCGAGTGCGGAGGAACGTCTTTCTTCGTCTGCACGCCTGCACCCATCGCTGGCACCACTTTGTCCAAGCCGTTTTCTCGAGGCGATGACGTGCCGTTCACCACTGGGCTGGTAGGTCCCTCGCTGGCGTCGTCCACGACTAGATCCTGGTCACTCTTCTCGCCGTCGCTCTGCAACGTCAACGTTTGAAATTGGTTAGTTTACTCGTTCGATGGAATGCCGGTTTTAATCCAAATCCGGGGATTTTAGGTGATCTCATTAGATAGCAGAAGAGATGATCGATTTCGATTAATGGAAGCTTGATGGGATATACGAGTAAAGGTAGGAAGATTTTCCAGTGCAAGTCAATCTTGGATCGAGTTTCGATTATTTGAACTGTAGTCACCTGCATATCTGGTAATAGTGAACTTAACGTAGGACTTGACATAGGGAAATTAACGGAATTGTAAAAAGAAAAAAGAAAATGTAGTATGTCGGATTGGCTATAGTTTGGAACAACTAATTTTACGATGTCTCATTATTGTCTTCCAGCAGCGCTGATCCTCCGTAGGAGGCCCAAATGAATAAGTACGGTCAGTTAATTCGTTTATACCCCCCGAGGAGGGCTACTATATAGCCTAAACGTAGTTAATAAATAGTCCCCTGAAATGAATGCTCCGTTATACCGATGAAACTCATACCTCCGCCTTAACTGAAGATCGTTAACAAACTTGTTAAAATTTTGAGAAACAGTTACGTAACGAAACGCGTCTGCGATCGTTCACGAAGGATCAGGAATATTACAGGAATTTTTAATTTTTGAATCGCGTTAAATCTGCTTCGTTAAATCTGACATCGTTTAGCGAAGAGTCAACGGAATGAAGGATTTACTATCTGAGAAACATGTTTGAAGAAACCACTATCCAGAGTTTGCATATCTAAGTTACATATTGATAATGCTAATCAGCGTTATCTTATTTAACAGGCACGAACACTGTTACAATGATAGCGTTATCGCCCGGGCGTAATTACTGCATAAATCGGAGATGGATAGAATATTCATCTAAATAAAACAATTCGATTAACGCATAAAAGAACTTTTGATCCGTTCTAATTCCAATAAAAATTACGACCAGAGTTACATAAACACGGTAAGTTTCGTATTGCACGATTAGCAAGTCATATATCTTGTGATCAGCCTTTCTGAAGTTGATATTCATTGATTCTTAATAAAAAAAAAACACCTCATACACGACTGTGAAACTTTTGCCTGTATTATATGTACAGGGTGTCCCAAAAGTCGGGGAGGAGCCGGAAATGGGAGGTAGCTGAGACGATTCTGAACAACAATTTCCTTTGCAAAAATGTCGGATGGGGCTTCGTTAAGGAGATATTAAGAGAAAACCCCGACCAATCAGAGCGCGCGTAGACCGTTGGAGCGGCCGCGGTAGCGAAGGTTACGAAGCCCCATCCGACATTTTTACAAAGGAAATTGTTATTCAGAATCGTCTCAGCTATCCCCCATTTCCGGCTGCTCCCCGACTTTTGGGACACCCCGTATATTGCTGCTTTCATTATGAAGAAATTATAATTGTAAATTTGTGTTTGTGATTTTTTTTGTAATTTTGGTGAAAATAAAGCATTATACAAAGACTTCTTATTCAAGACTTATCCATTGTTCGCATAAGATTTTGCTCCTCTCTAGATTGAAATATCTCAGGATCCAAGCAATAGGGGGTTAAAGACGAACAACGAAGAGTATAGAGCTGTACTTACGTGACCAATGTCTTTATCCTGCTCCTTTTTCATTTTCTTGATGTGCATGGGATGGTCATGGTGATTCTGTGAATGATGGGAATGGTGCGTCTCCTGCGGTGTCCGTGGACGACTGTACTTATCGCCAGGCGATATCGAACTTCTCTGTAACGTGACGAAAATTACGCGTTACGCGTTGCTCGTACACGTTCCCGAATGTCGTAGACAGAAAATATATACAAACGTGTTAAAAAAATAGCAGAATCATCGATAAGTGTGGCCAAGTCAGGATCGCATCGTGACACTTATTGACCGAAGGAAGTGAATTTTAATTGCCTTTATTTCCACTCGAATCGAAACTTATTGGACTTATGTTGACATTGGAGCGAACAGTTTCTAGAACTCATGACGATAACGTGACAGATATTGAACAAATTTTCGCGACACTTATCGACGACTCGCTATAACTGACCTTGAAAACCAGAGTGGTCTAAGTAACATTTTTTTAAGAATTGAGTTATGGCCTAAAGCGCATAGCTGATACGATGTTCCTTAATCATTAACAAATGGCGGCATTGAACTGTAACGAATTTTTATCTAAATGATTCAATTTTTGTTTATAAACTCAGTACCGTAATTTCGCAAATAGGCTACTCTGGTTCTCGTGGGCTCGTATGTTTCAAGTTAAATTTTGCCGATATTCTAAAAGAAACTCGAACATCCTTTTACAAGTTTTAGTTTAAAAATAACACCATCTTAAGCGCGATAGATATCCCAAGCAAAAATAACATTTAAATACATCATAAGCCTCGCCTGTACACTCTCGTTTTGTTTGAGAACTATGAGAATATACTCGCGAAAGTTTTACGACTGTCTAATACTTTTGAACACACAAGTAGATGTTTCGTTGTCTAACGCAACGTTGAAACGGGTATTTGATTTACACGAACGATTAAACGGACGAAGAAGCGTCCCGAACGATAACCGACGAAGACACACTGCACGAACAGAAGTATATACGTTTACACACGGCCGTTAATCTCTAGTTAAATAACAGACAACTGGCGTGGACTGAAACAACGGATTACCCACCAGTTTCCTGCGGTCCGATCAACGTGACAAAACCGTAATTACCTGCGTCGACGATTATTATCAATTGTCACGCGAGCGCGTTCGCGATAATCGATTTCGAATTCGCCGCGCCGACCGGACGCCTCGTTTCAAAGGCATCGAAACGTAATTTTCAACGCTTCGCGTTCTTGAATAAAACATCTCCAACATCGCGCACGAATGGCTCGTAATGGTTTCGAAACACGGAATAACGATTCTCCGCTGACGTTTGAATAAAGGTTTTCAATTCCCTCTTAACCGCCCGCGGGGAAAAAAAAACTTCCACCGTTGTTCGCGTCAAAATTCCAATTGCATTACTTATCGCGCTTTCGCATACTTGGCGTTACTCGTAGCATGAATAATTTACGTAGATCCGATTGTTTAACGTAGAAATACTGATTAGTGTTGGGTAAAATAATTGACATATGAATTTTGAATATATTTTAAGGGACTGATTTATATGTTCTTACTATGCGACACTCATCGATAATGTATCATCGCTATTTGTATAGGAATTAATAGCACAAATGGAAATAGACACTTTACGTCAATTCATTAGACTATCAGTAAGATGTCAAGAAATTACCAGAGTTAGTAGTTTATAGTAATGAGAATTGGTAGCTCGAATAGAAGACCATCGATACAGATAATGTCCAATAGATGAGACTACCAAAATCGTTCCTAAATATTTATTCCGATTATTTATCAAACTTCGTACTCCCCAAATGCTTCAATCACCGATAATATCCACTATCGAAACCCTATACCCAATAACTCAGCATCAAATCCGAATTTTTGGTGGCGTGAGCCGCGGCACGCGACAAGACCCATCGAGCACCGTTCGATTCGTAACGGAACGTAAACGGAGTCGTCGGTGGACAGCGTGTCCGCGCGTGTGTACGCAAAAGCTCGATGAAAAAGAGGAAAGCACGAGAGTGGAGGCCCGCGGGTGGCGGCTAGGAATACCACGCAGAGGAAGAGTATTAAAGGAAGCACGAATCCAGGAGGTAGAGGGCAAAAAGGGGTAAAAAAGGAATGGAAGGAAGATGCTTCGGGAAGAGGTTGATAATGATTATAGAGTCGGCGCAGCGCGGTAGAGAACGGGACGAGGAGACACGCACACAGTCTAGCGCGCGCAACACACGTACAAGGAGAGAAACAGGAACGAGGGAACCGAGGAAACTGCCCGAGGATCGGTCGAATAAGGAGAGAGGAAAATAGAATAGCGAGAGGCAGAATGAGAGGGCGTCGATGGGCGTTTCGCGGTCCCGCGATGATTACAGGCTCGGCAAACCTATAATACACGCTGGCTATCTCCCCTTTTCCCTCCTTCTTTATGGCTGGCCCGCTCTTTCCATTATTTTTTTTTTTTTTCGTCCGCCTCCCTTTCCACGACAATCCCTCGTTTCGTCTCTGTTCACTCTGTTCTCTGTTCTCCGCTTCGTTCCTCCTGGGCGCGCGAGCCCTGGCGCGAGAAGGTCGCGTTACTTGCATTTTCTACGGGCGAACACCGCGGCGCGCCTAACCCCTCGGCTACGAAAAGAAAAGTTTTCTGGACGAGGATCCTATCCCTTCGAGCGCCGATACGAATCGAGCCTAGCATTCGTCTGTAATTACTTTCGTAACTTTAATGTTATCTGCTCTGCTCGGCTGCGGGTATCGCTTCTATCCCCGCGGGAATTTCGAGCCGTTCCACTGGTCGGTTCAGCGGGTGGGCTTTTGTTTCGCGAAACCACGAACGAGGCAGCTGATAGCGATGGGATTAAGCATCGCGCGAGCGGGATCGAGTCCTTCACGAGTGGAAACGAGTGGAATCGGGCCGGCCTAGCGCTGGCTCGCGAGATGAATGAATGAATGAATGAATTAGTGTAGGCCATTGGCAGATGTGCCGTTTTGTTTTGGTAATAAGGAAGTTAATTGGATGGTTCATTGCAGCATCAGGACTTTGTTTATCGTAAGGCATTCGGCAGGTGGAGAGTGATACTAAGCGGTAGGTAAGCCTGGGATAGGTGCGCTATTTTGTTTTAGAGATCTCAGGTCTTGAAGATCTAACCCAGGCCTAACCGAATAAGAGCCAACTGTGGTAGAATCTCGATTATTGCAAACTCGACTGTAGCATCAGAGTCGCGTTTAATGCAATGCATTATAGGGTGAAATATTTTTGTTAATGGAACAATGGAATTTAATGTAACGCAGGAGTCTAAACGAAAGTCACAAAGATTCGAACCCACGCGATCCTGGGATCCACCGTCGACCGTTTTACCTAAACGATCAATCCCGTGCCCCACGTTTCGTGTTGTCGTTTGACTGCTTAATTCTTGAGTATGCGAGGCACGGATAAAACAGTAATGTATTACTGTAATACGTTCGTAATACGAAGCCTTGAATTATGACTTTAACGGTGGTTGATTTTGTTATACCATTTCTATTTTCGAAACTCTTTACATGTACTTTGAGAAACATAATCTCGAGTATGGTAATTGATTCGAAATCGCGAGTGCGTTTGAAACTTGATCCCATCGCTAGCAGTCAATCGACGCGCGTGGAAGGTGATCTCGTGTTGGAATCCGAGGCGAGAGACTCGTGGACCGTTTATACCGCAACAATGTAATGTTTCGACGGTAGTTTCTATATACCACGAGGGTGGTAACGAGAGCTCTAAGACTGACAGTAATTGACACCAAGTGCTGACTGCTGGACGTGTAGTAACTCAACTGCAAGGATCATCTGCCGCGAGAGTGGGATTGAGTTATGCGTTAGCTATGAATGAACACCGTTACCTGCAATGATACCGAGTTCATACCTTTCCACGTTGTTTATCTCATCCGTAACTATATTTCCTATCACTCTGCTAACTCCTATTCTACTTGTTCACTGTCACCTATTTTTACCCGGATTCGCCATACTTCAAAATACCAAACCTCACTCTCTTATCTTTTAAGATTCCAGCTATATCTCCGTTAATGTTATTTTTAAACAATCATACAGAATATTATGTATTCAAGCCAAAACGTAGTTTACCCAAGTTTATATGAAACACGATAAAATAAATTTTCTACCATTGATATAACGAAAAAAAAAAACAAACAGTTTTTATTTTCAGAAGCGATCCCATGAAATTGGTTTGGATCAGAAAATCTCTCTTATTTACAGAAGTACTCCGAGTGCAAAGGCTGGAAACATCGATATCATCGAGCAGTTATTTTTTATCTCGCCCGAGGGATTAAAATTCATCAGGGCGCCTCGTTTTGTCGGCGGACAAAAAACGGCGAGGTGGTAAAAAGTCGAAACACGAAACCGGTACCGGTTAGGATTTTTTCTGAGCCGCTCTCTTTCCCGTACGCCACTTTGTGCCTCTTCTGCGTTCGTCGAAAACATAATTGCGCGTACAGTGCCTACTCGTCGGCGAAGTACGGCTAAAGCACTCGTTGTACCCTTCACGCGCACGGAAAGTTACGCGCGTGTAACGTACCTGTAATACACGGGGTCATGTCGCGAGTGCTCGTGGCGTCGAGCACGTTGTACCGTGCAACGTTAAGTTGCGTATGCAGGCGCTGTACACGGTGCCCCTGGGATTATAGGAGCGGTCGTCGAAAGTGCATAATTTCAAGCATACGTCGAGGGAAACATACAAAAAAAAAAAAAATAATTGCGCGACGAACAAAGGAGTCCAGTGGATTTGTTTTCGCGAAGATAGGGGAGGCTTTTATTAAGAGAGACAAGCCACCTCGGACGCGAGAAAATTATAGTTTCGTTCAATAATTTTTATTTCGAAAACAGTTAGCTTTATGAAAGATCTGTTTGCTGGGGTTTATTCTGTATGTATCGAACGATAGAAAAATAATTTTTATTTGCGTTTTTTTTTTTTTTTATTTTATAAATATAAAAGATCGATGCTGGAGCCATTAACTTGGCATTCCCTTTAAATTGGCATTCTATTCGTAGAAAATGTCCTCATCTTCTTTCTCAATAATATCCATTTTACAAACGTAATAGTTATCGCTCCTTCTACAGAAAACTTACTTTTAACATCTATTTGAACTAATAAAAACCACGGCACCTGTTTAACGCGTTAATAAATGCTAGCATCTACTGAACTCACATAGAGGATACTTTCCTTCGGTTGTATCGAAATAATTTTAATCGATTCGCGAAAAGCAGGGGCCAGGGTAATTTCTGCAGGTTCGTTTGCTCGGCACGACTGGATTATTTATCTACGTCATTAAATCCTTGAAAATTCCCGACGGAAAACAGCCATGCGAAACGGATAAACGGCGGGAAAAAAAGCCCATCCACGTTTATTTGTTTATTCATGCCGATAGATTGCACGTTTGAACTTCAACGGATAATCCGATTGTTAACTCGACGTTTCGATAAATGATTTGTCTGCGTTTCAGCGGCGAAATATTTACCGGTACGCAAAACGCGGTGGTGAACGGGGCGGGGGAGGGGAGGGGAGCGGCCATAAATCTCGGACACATATTATTGTTTCATCCGTGATAAAACAGCGTCGCGCTGACATAATTTCATTTGCGCAGTAAACCTTAATTACGGTACGCGAAAAATAAAGCCCGCCTCTCTCTCACTTCCACCCCTCGTGTTCGCTGGTTCTTCCCCGGTTGTGAAGTTCGAAAACACCGACAAAGCGCGACCAGCGTCGACGCCTCTTCGACGTCGATTAATAATTTAATCTGGGAACGACGACGTCACCGAAACGCGATTTTCGCGTCGATACGCGCGTTTCTGACGGCGTCAATTATCCGCTAAAAGCGAAAGAACGGCGTTTAAAAAACGAACCGGTGAATAAAATAGGTGCACAAGGGGAGAAGGTAATCGTATCATTTCCTGCTGGGCGATGAAAAATTAATTAAACGCAGTGGCCATCCGAGCATTATTGTTCTTTGGAATCGTTGACGAATATTTTAATTAAACGGTGTTTGTGATCTTCTTTGGCAGTTGGGAAATATTACGTGACGATTGCGGATGTTTATGCAAATTCATGTATTCATGGATACAGACAAAAAAAAAAAAAAAAAGATTTGAACTTAAAAGTTTGTCCTTTTGAATGGTGTAACGTGTATATATTATCGTTGCTATATTACATACTTTTTTGTATGTATGAACAATTTCATAGATTTTTTTATATTTTCGTTTAGTGCATAAGAATCCGCAGGCTAGTGATTTTTGAGGAATGTGGAAAATATGAAAGTGAAATATAGCGTATACCCTTATGTACCCTTTCCCAAAAGATAAACGCACGATGGTGAGAGAAAACAGTGGGGGAGAGAATAAATTAGAATGGAAGAAAAAAAAAAAACAGAACGAAATATTTCTACTCACGTGTCTCTCCTCGGTCGAGCTGAGACCTGTAACGAGACAAATGCAAACAATCGTCAGTCAAAAAAGCCGTGCGGAACGTTTCCAACGGGAAAATGATTTTCATGCACCGGGTCTCTCGACGTGTCGACGAGGGGACGTGGTGTGCGTGGGGTGGGTTTTGGGGGAGAGAAAAAAAAAATCATCAAAATCCCGGCCACCGCGTCGCCCGATAAAATGTTAATAACGTGCCCATAAAAGGGAGGAATACAGAGAGCCAGAGAGGGTGCGAGAGGGTGGTCGCCGCGGGGTGTGGGGGATGCGGATAGGTGGAAGGGCAACCGGCGCCCGTATAAATGATCTTCATGCATATTTATGCGCTTTTCGCTCAAAACCGCCGGTGTCCGCTAACAGGGTGACGCAAACACGCTCACCAATCCCCTCGCTCACCTTCCCGCCCCTGCGTGGAAAGCGGATACCCGACAAGCGCTTTGAAAATTTCCAGTCGAGCGATCCGTGAGCCGCACGCTCGCGTCACGTCGGCTACATATTTTTTTTTCTCACCCCTCGTCGGAACCACCCCCGTTCGACCCGCGCGACCCACCCAGTGACGGGCTAAGATCCCTTGGACCCCTGGACTGCGAATGTCACAGGGCCTTGAATAATATTTGCGATGAGGGGAAAAAGTAATTCGAGGAAAATCAAGTTTTGTTTTAAAGAGACTCATCGTTTGACTTTCCAGGGCCTCTATAAAATGGTTAGATAAAGTTTTACGTGGATACTTTAAACTGTAGACACAAAAATTTAATTCAAGGGTGAGAGATATTGTTCATCTACTCGATAATTTATAGGTATGTTTAGGGGTGATCTGGGAAGTTCAATGATAAGTTTGTTTTTTAATAAGGCAACTGGGATTATTATTTTGTATTGTTATATTTTAGTTGAAACGTAGATGATAGATTTAGTGTTAATATTGTCACTTTAATGTTTACGTCCAAAAGAATATATTAATTATATCACGTTGACTGTATTTGCACACATTTGCTAAAAATTGCCCAATTCGTCAATTTTCCCGATATATCGATGCACAAAACATTCAGAAGTCTCGTAGCACATCGGCAAAACGTGAGAAACGTACAAGAATTCCCTTTTGAAACTATTTCAAGGCTCGAAGCCCCTCGGAATCGGCTCTGGAGACGCCACCCCCGTTTTTCGGTGGCGCGCACCCCGACACGCTCAACTCGTGCTCTTTTTTTTTTTCCAACCCCTCGGGCACGGCAGGGTATCGCGAAAGCGGGATCAAACGGATGACGGTGACAAAAAGAGAAAAATCCGCTTCGATGGTCGCTCGTTCGCGACGTGGAACGCGCTCGCAGGTGAGATTCGTTATATTGGGGTGGCTAAGGGGCGTGGGGGGGTACGGTAGGATGAGGGTGGGCAGCACTCGAACGTGACCAAAGGCCGGAATTTCGTTAATTTCTTTTCCCGCCGCGTTGCCCACAGTGGTGGCAATTAAAATCGTGTGAAAGGGCGAAAAGTATGCGTATAACGAGTATTCCGGGGTTTAACGATTCCCGCGGAGCGGGCGCAGGAGGAATTCGATCGTGAAAGGGGGACCCCTGCCCCCCCCCCCCCCCCCCCTCTCTCTCTCTCCAGTTCCGACGGTGAGGCTTCTGCGGTTTTTGGAACGGTCGAGGGGGGGGGGGGGGACGGTAACGCATTGCTAAAGGAAGCGTGGAAATTAACCGGCAGTAACGCGAACAAAAGCTGACCGAGTTTAAGGGGGCACAACACTAATATTTTTTTTTAATGAATTCTCTTTGGTCCCATTTCCCGAAAAAAAAAAACGTATTTCAAGAATATTGTGTCTAATTCCGAGAAAGAAATCTCTGGATTTGCTAGAGTTACGTTACGGTTACCCTTTGAATGCGAAATACTCATGTAAACAATACCAATCCCACAACTTCGTTAATTTAATATATTTTTAAACATGAAAATTTATGACACTGTTTATCTAAAAAAAATTCTCCAAATATGCATCTCTTTCCTAGATCGAATCCCCCCTTAAAATCATCAACTTTCAAATAAGTAACAATTTCGAAGCTACATTGATTTAATTACAACCCCACACACACACACACATACACACACATCCTATACATTGTGCCAATTATCGTTCGAAGAACCGTTACGTCGGCTCCTACGAGACAAGGCGGATGAAAGAGAAGTGGAGTACTCACCGCCGTTGCTCTTCAAGTCGTCGGGCTGGCCACGATGGAGTTCCGGTTTGCCAAGCATCGAAAGTGGATGCGCCGCCGTTGCACCGGGTGCTGTGGCGGCTCCAGGCGTCAGGCCAAGACCAATAAGAGCGGCAGAGGCGGAAGTCGACACCGGAAGTCCACCAGCTGGCCCTAGTCCCGGAAGTCCGGGTAGGCCGGGATGACCGCCTATCGCCGCCCCCGGTGGCAGTTGCTGGGCGTGCATTTGTTGCAGCAACCTTGGTATATCTGGTCTCTGTTGCTGAAACAGAAAGAGCGGCTGTCAAAGTCGCTGAACTTTAACAGTTAACATCAGTTGTATTGCGTGCAGGGTGAGTCGATAAAAATTGCCACCTGAAGCGGCTCGTTGTTTGTTCAGTTTACGCAAACATGTTTCAAATTAAGGGATGTAGGAGGGACAATTCACCCCCGGGGGGATGAGGTTTATTTTCGTCACATATGTGCCTACAGTATTTTTACGGATATACTTGTATTTTTACGGATAGCCTTCGATATTTGAGGATTGTGACGTATAAATAAAATTTTTTAATTCGGAAAATAATTTACAATTTGTGAATGGTTCGTACGACTTCGATCAAGAAAATGTAGATTGTAGATACGATTAGATGTACGTTTACTGATGATGAAAGTATTGAGAAAAAAAGGAATATTCTATTTATATATTTTTGGTACAACTACCCACGAGTTTTGTGCGAATCTTTAGACGCTATTGTATATGTTTCTTTCAAGATCTGTGAAAGTGGTAAATGATATTTATTAACTTATGTATACTCTACAGAACTAAATTACAAGCCACGTATGTTTCCCAAAATTAATCACAGCGACTATACCACCCAACACAGTAACCTTACAAAAATAATTTGACAGAGTTTACAAAAACCCCTCAGAAAGACCCCTTAAAAAAAGAAGCTCAACATCTCGCTGAAACGAACCCGAACGTTGCCCGGCAGCTTTCCTCGGGTTTCGGTACGGGGCCCCCGACAGACGAGAAGGAGAGGGGGTAAAAATTGTTGCGCGTCAAAAGCCCCTCGCCGGAAGTCGAGTGGCCGCAAGGCAAATTGCAAGCTACATCCGTGGAGTACGTGCACGTGCGTGTAGGGCGCCGCAAATACGTCCCCAGGGGGTAAACTGTGCTGCGGGAAGACCATACGAGCCGTATACACACGCTGCCCTGACCCCATCGTGTGTCTCTCCCTTGCCCCATTCAGCGACAGTCCAGGAAAATAACTATCGTACACAATCGGCGCCGCGTAGGCCTCGAGAGGGGTTATTTCGCATAATCCACCCTCGACGACGAGACCACGACCCTCGTTCGCGTACCGTCGTGTTACATTCTCCCCCTTCCCACTGCTCGACCCCTAAATACCTAAGTGAAATCCATGATAAGCATGATTCGCGCACGTAACGAGTTTACCGGCCTCTGTTATCACCCCCTCGATCTTACAGACGATGTCTCCCTTTTTCTGCCTCTCCCTCTCTTTCACTCTCTGGTGGCCATTGTGCGTAAAACGGCAATTGACCGACAGTAGAGAAAGTCGGATTCTGGGTGGACAGTGGAGTACGAGGTCTTCTTGGATTTTTTCGAGTAGGAATCTGATATCAGAATTTGAGAATTTATCATGATGTTGTGTATGAGAAAAATTGTGTAAAGAGTTGGGAGACGGGAGGGGGGGGGAGGAGGAGGAGGAGGAGGGGCAAGTGAACTGCGAATCAGACCTGGTTTTGTCTGAAATATCTGTAGCATTTGAACTCCAATAGGCATCGTGATCATAAGTAATGGTAATATTGATGTACATATAGCAAAGATACAACAATATTATCCCAACGTTATATTCTCCCCGAACGAATATACTTTTTTCGAGACTCGCGACTAAACCCGTCAAGTAATTATCCAAACTTCCGGTTTCAGGTTACCCGTTGCACGGAACACTTTTTACGCCCGCCGTGTACACGTACTTGGCTGGCTTTTTTCGTCGCGTAATTGTTCCCCGGTTGAAAGTCGAGTTGTTCCCCCGATTTCCGACGAAAATAACCGCGCCCGTCGATGGATTTTCCTCTGCTCGTGACGCCATTGGTGCATTATGCAATTATTGCCCGTTCGACGAGCGAACCGTTCGTTTGCGTTCTTTTTACCCAACGCCCGCCTCTCTCTCTCTCTCTCTCCCTCTCTCTCTCTGTAACGAAAAAACGAATTCACGGCTCGTCATTTGTTTTGCGCGTGCAGAGGGGGGACGGGTGGGGGCGTCGTTGAATCCGAGCGTCGAATTATAATCGGAACCGTTTTGTTGTTGTTTTTTCTTTTCGCGAGTGGAATGGAAAGAGAGAGGCGCGATATCGCGCGGCAACGATAACGTTGCATAATCCTGGGTATAGAAACGGCGCGTATCGTGTGAACAATTTTTCGCTCGGAATTCAAGTGTGCACAGAGGACTGGCGGGAGAGGGAATCGCGTTGGCGAGTCTCTGGTGTATTGTTTGACGTTCAGCGAAACGAACGGTGGAAATTCTGGCTAATAAAGTGTACTGTTAACGCGCACGCTCGCGGTGGTCGCGTATCTGCTCGTCCGTCGTATTTTCGATGATTTTACGGCGGAAAACGTATATTAATGCGCGAATTTATTTAAGGTTTTTTTTTTTTTTGTTTTTTTTTCCAGTGGAAATGGCTCGCAATTTGGAATGAATTTGAACGAAGGTAAGCGTGTTATTGAAGCAATGGAATCGGATGTAAAGTTGTTTCGTGTAATCGAGAGGGGAAATTATTTATCGGATTTTGTGAAAGATTCGAGTAACCGTGGTTATTGGACCTCGATTTGGGTAGGCTTCAGAAAAGTTGAGTTTTTAATTAAAATTGCGTCGCGAGTTTAATAGTTTTGGTATAAATTCTAGTTTCATATAAACGGAATCTGTGATGACGAAGAAACGAATTTAAACAATTGCATATGCGCAAAGAAGGCGTTCGTCATTTCGTCGATGGGATACTGATCTTTTTAATATTAATAAAACAGAAGTTATTTCACAATATCTACGAAATTTATGGGATCATATTATAACGTCATTAATTCCTTTTCGACACTAACACTCATTCGTAACAGTTGAAATCGAGTCACCGTAAACCAAAGACTGTCAGATTACTAGGAAATTATTGTCATAGAAATCTCTTTCCACTTCGGTTGAAAAATAATAAAAGAAACAAACAAACGAATTCCTACTCCACATTTTGGTTACCAAATCACCGTTCCCTATTTTTACACGAAGCTAACTACTTCATTCAAGTCGCACGAATACTTTCTACGCCCACTGTACGTAGGCGCGCGAGGGTTCCCCGATAAACACAATAGATACACACCGAAAATCGTCGGGACGGCTGAACGCCCCATCCTTCCATTAACCCCCCAACGGTATTCAATTCGTATTCGAAGCAACGAGCGGGACCACGTCGTCCGTGCAGTGCCAAACGAAACGTAATAGTCCCAAACGAGGTTTAACGCGCCGTGAATAATACGCGGGATGGGGTGGCCAGCCTGTGCCCGAGGGGTGGATCGGTCCAACGGCGTCGCGTTGCCCCCGAGGTGCGACTCGTCCATACCTGTGCGTTTAAATACGTGTCAGGGAATACCCTGCGCGCCCGTACAAACGCGCCCCTGCCGTTGCGTGCACGAAAGCGTATATGCATTCATAGCAAGAACGGGGCGAGTGAAAACACCGACAGGGAGACAGGGATAACCGGGAGAAGTCCAATTAAATCAGTGGCGCGCAACTTTCTTCGATACTTGGATAAATACGAGGATAAGGAATTTTTTTTAGTAAAATGAAGGGAGTAACGAAGAGTTTGGAATTAAATAATAATTGAAGAATAGTTTTGGGTCGGTATGGAATGATTAACCCTTCGCACTCGGATGTCCCCTTTGAAGGAACGTTGAAAGTCCATGGAACTTTGGTAGAGATGAAATAAAATAAAAAAGGCGTACAAAAGTCACGTCACGGTTTATAGAGAAATCCGAAACGGTCAAATTGTTAATTGTTACATCAATGATACCCTAAAATTTTAAACATCTCAGCATAAGCGCGTCTCAAGAATACATTCTCGTCAATTTTTCACGTTCCGCCATAGACAAATCGCGCTTCCAAGATCCTCGCGAAACGAGCAAAACGTTCCCGTCGAATCCGTAAACACAAATCCTGCAATCTCCGAACGTAACTCACAAATTACACACCCTCGTGCATTTCACACACCGCGTCGGATGGTGCACTTTGTTGCGCCACTGAATTAGACGGAGGAGCACCAGGGGAGCATCGTGCGAGCGAGAGAAATCGCAGGGAGAATTGCGTTCCACCGGTTCCACGGTGTTATTAAACGAAATATTGATTCAACCCCTGTTTACCGAGTAATACATATTCATGGGGGTTGGCGCTTATGTCTATTTGCCCCCGTCCTCCCCTCGGCCCCGCCCGACTCCCCTCCACCACGACTCACTTTGTTCCCCTCCCTGTCTTACTCTATTTAGTGTCTCGACCCTTCGAGAACCTCCTTCATCGCTCCCCTTTCAACGAGCACGAACGAGGAGTCGCGGGTGCACGTGCACGTGTCACACTCTCTGGCTTCACCTTGTACCCTACTATTCGCCGCGTAGTGCACGCACTGATTATATCCCCGCATGCCGATGACGCGTATTACGCAACTGCAGATTGCGGTTCGTGTCGCGACCTCGATCGAACGATTTGTAGCGGTCAGGATTGCGCGCTCGTTAAATCGAGGACACGCGACGGGAGCTGGAGATTTTAGTCTAGACGGCTTACAACGGTGCCTGTCGTTTCTTTTTATCTTTTGGGTTTTCTGAGGGATTTGTTGGGGTCGTTGGATGAAGACTGGATGTCGTTGCGTTGATAACGCTATAAATAAGACTGTAACGACGTCATTATTTTAGAAGAACATTTTTGAATTTTCCAGTCTCGCTCACCCTACAAGACAGAATCACAGAAACCGCGAAGCCACGTTTTCCAGCAAGTGGTCCAAAGAGAATATTAAACATTTTAATAAAAAGAATTATCAACAAAAATTATTTTCACGTAATTAAGATGTATCAGATGAAACATATACAACCCTGAGATATTAAATTTGTAATAATGCCCCATTCAAACATATTCCTAAATATCCAACTACTTTCGCGTTTCCCAATCGCCTCATTTCCATTTCGCGTCGCGTTTTCCATGTCCACCCCGTATATAAGAACAGACGCAGAAGGCGACGTGGGACTTATCGATGGAGGTAACTGTACGTGCAAGAAGAATAATTCAAGCACGCCTCAGGGGCTCGGCGACGAGCATCGTACATTTGTTCAGGCCGGCGATGTATCGACGACCGCGGAATTATTCAAGTCGCGCGCTCGAGGACCAACTCGGAACTCAATTATACGCGCCGCGACGACCGACTGCCAATTTCACCGTGACGATGGCGCGGCTGCCGTGGCGGCACTTTGCTTATGAGTATGAGACGAGCGTTTTCCAGCGGAAGTCCCGTCGTCGCGGGACACCACAACCGATGAAAGGAAAGGATGCGTTCACCGAGCTCGAGAGCGCAACCGACGTCCGTTTTGGGAGTCTGTTATATGGAAATTCAAGTGTGCTCGACGACTGGATAAACGATCATGGTAGAAAAAAAAAAAAAGAAATGTTTGACTAGAGGTCGTGTAAGCTGCGCGCGATCGGGCTGCCGTTAATGCGTGTGCACAGTGATTCAAGTGACTCGATGACTGGAGACTATTGGCTAGGCATAGTCGTGGAGAAATTGTTTCAAGGCATATCGCGTACATTAATATATTTTTTTTAATTTAATTTGGAAAATCAGGTTCCTGAGGGTTGAACGGTTCGGCTTCAGAATTAATTTATTTAATTTCTCAGTGAAAATTCTTATCACTGAGTTTCAGTTAATCTTTTTGAAATAGATTCGTACAACTTTGTAATAGTAGAATTTAAACATAACGTGAATTTGTAGTTCCTACAAGGGCAAGATAATCCTACGTATACTTTTCATGTTTTAGAGATGCTAGAGAAAATCTGCTTCTTAAGCTGTTCGTTAAAGTTACCCTCAGTGGTTCCATGGTATTTAAATCAGATGATTATGCTAGCCAGGGAAAATGTTTGTCTAGGTGCTCCTCAAACTAACACTGACCGTTCAGGGGAATTATCGAGTCAGCTGAATACCAGAGCAACGTATAAGTATGCTATGTAGGAGTTCGTATAATTTCGTCTAGCCCCTGTATTTCCATAAATAAAAACAGTATCGAACCAGCCTGAGAGCAAGTCGATGCTCCGGAAGTCTTGTGGAGCTAATTAAAAATATATGTGTACGCTTACCCCTATTATAGAGTTCAGCTCCGCCATCGTGACCTGTTTCGCTCTTTCCACAGCGGATGCAACCTGCTGCTGATGCTCTTGCGTTAAAAATGGCAGAATCTGCCCGATGATGGCGTTCAGTCTCTTCGATATTTCGGCCTGTTGGAAGACACAACGCAATTAGTGAGAAACAGATAAATGCTCAAGAATGTTCAATATTTGGTTGGTGCGACATCAAAGTCAAACACAAAGTCAGCATTTGTCAGAACGATTCTATGCTAGATTGCACAATTCAATGCTGATGATTCTTCACAAAAAAAGAACTTATAATTTTCTATCTTTTGTGTATATAATTAATACAGAATCTCATTGCAATGGATTAAAAAGAATTACTTCGATTAAAAATACGTTTCAAAAATATTTTCTGCGGTTAAAATTTCATTTATGTAAACGGCAGTTTACGTGCACCAATCTCTAATGGGTGAGAATGTCAAACGGGTGGAAGAGGATGAATAGCATGCGTGAAAACGAAATCATAGCGATCGGTATTCGTCGAGCATAGTCGAACAAAAGAACGCTTGCGTTTGCTCCGTTTCGCCTAAACGCTGTGGGTGATCGGCCGACGCGTGAGAGCTGCGTAGTAAAACGTCCCGGTAACAAAGTGCATAACAGGGGGAGAAAGCTTTTTTCTTTGGTTTTTCGCCCGCGCACATGCCTCCCAGCTGCCCGCGATCGAAAATATTTTCGGCCCCTTTCCGCGAGCGAAATATTTAAGCACGGACACTTTTAAGAGGCGGCTGGAGTTAAAATTAGCCCGACAAAAAACAGAGTGCAGCGGGAATTACCTTTCGACTTGTTTCTATTTAACGTGGCTCGTATATCTCTCTGCCAATTGGCCGCGTTCAACGTTACAAAATTCAACAGAACCGCACTCGGACTAGAACTTTTTCCATTACTAAATATCAAGCGTAGAAATTAATTCTGTGGCTTTATATTCATACAATTATGATTCTCATTGGAAATATTTATTCGTTTTGTTAGTTAGAGTACCAACCTCCTATGTCCTCGATCTAATTTATGTTAGAATAGATGTGAATAGTTAATCAAAGTCTGAATCCGATAGACCTTTACAATGTAATTGAGAGTTACAAGTACCGTTGTTATTTTTTTCCATTCAAAATAAAGAGTAATACAATATTACCCTCAGTCTTAATATCGAAGGAATTTTTATACTCAAATATGAATGTTATATAAACTATCCTCCAATCTTAATTCTCCTTCAATTGTTACGTATCCTCGAAGCCACTGCACCCTCAAACCCTGATCAGCCATTTTAGAAACACTCCGCGTATAAAAAGAAACGCGGAACGCCGTGTCGACGAATCAAAGCCCCGCTTTTGTTAATGCGAATTCCTTTCTGCGCGAGGCAACATCCGCCAAGCGTTTTCTGGCGAAAATACTGTCTACAGTCGAGGCGCTGAATACACAAACGATGCGTATCCGTATCTTCGCGGGAACCTCTGTATTTCTAGCGGCGTGCGCTCGTCAAATGAGGCGGGTCTCTATTTTTGTCGCACCTCGTAAGAAGCCGGGAGGCTACGTTGGGGAATTAAATGACGCGCGAGGACATAACGTTGATGATTAACGAGACGCGGGGGATAAAGCGTTCTCGCAAGTTTAACGAGCGATTTCGAGACCCCATGATCTCAGCTGGGAGGGTTACCATCTTCGAATCGTAAGAAAAGAGCACCCCCGACGGTCCTTAAAAGGAAAAGCCACCTTGGACGCACGAAAAACATCTTTACAAAATTTTTTTTTTTTTGGAAGACGATTAACTTAAGAGAAAGTAATAGAAAAACAATTTTTATTTAGATTTTTCAGATATGAAATAAAATTAAATAAGACAGTTAAATAAAAATCTTCATCTTTTTCTTACGACAATTGCATATACTCCCTTAAATACAATCAAGAAAGAGGTTATATGCGATGCAGATGAATTAATCACCAAAGTTTTCGGTTGCCTGCTGCCACCGTAAAAATTAATCTAAATAAAAAAAGTACACGTTTGCCCAGGACGCGAGGCGTCGTGCTACCGGTTTATCGAACGAAGCACGTCTTCTCGGAACAGCGTCGAAAGTGGTGGCCCCTCTTGCCGTTGGATTTTCTCGGAGCCCCGTTCCGTGTCGCCGAGTCATCGCGGCAAATGTTTATTCGGCCGTGTACACGGGACAAACTTATCCCGGCTTAATGACTTGGGCAAACACGCGACGTTAACCAACGCGAGTCTCGCGACGAGCCAAGAAAGAGTGCTGCGCGACTGCGACAACAGAGAGGGAAACCAAGGAAGAGAGAAAGAGAAAGAGAAAGAGAAAGAAAGAAAGAGAGAGAGAGAGAGAGAGAGAGAGAGAGAGAGAGATACTTTTGAAATTGGTGCACGAAGATCATCGAAACGGAATTGCACGACGAAAGACAGTTTCTCGGGTCGAAGTAGCAGAGGGGAGCGTCCAATAATCACGTGAAATTTTAGGTAGGGAAATGGGGTTCGCGATAATTGTCACGATCAATCATGTGGAGGATGGATACTGAAGACTCATCGTGTATAGTTTTTTAAAATCTCTTGTAGGGTATCGATACATATAATCCTATTTCCACAGTCCTATGAGTATTCGTACCCTCTTTGTCTGTTAAAGAAATTTGTCTAAATTAAACGATAGGCTTTGTTGCCATCCAAGTAAATGTCTCATAATACCCTTGAAAATTTCTACTGAGATCAAATTTTGTTTATTTTTGTAACTTCATCTAAATTCGAGAATTTCATTCAAATTTATTTTCTTTGATATTTAAAATTGAGAATTAATTTTTTTAGTTCTTCAGTGAAAAACACTGTCATTCATATTTGGATGACGTGGCGATCATATATATAAATATTTATATATTATATAATATATATATAAGATTCAATTGGAAACATTCAAGCTATCGAAAAGTCAAAATGTACCAGAAAATGCATCACGTGATTAATGGACGGCCCTCAAAGTTAAAAGAAGGAACTGAAACTCACCTGTTTGTGCATCTCCACGTTTAGGCCGTACGACATCTCGTAGTACTGCAACAAAGAAAGCGAGACACGTTAGAGCGAAGGTACACGAGTTTTAACGCTGCGAATCGCAGCCTTTGGGTGGGGACTGACGTTAACACTTAACAGTTAACACGTTTGTTGCCGGACAAGGCGGCTACTATGCTGTTTTTCGAATATCTCGATCCCTTCCCAAGTTCTACACTTACCACTCGGGCTCTAATAGCTTCTTCGTATTTGGATTGAAAGAACAGAAACGGGTTGTGGGTACAAGAACCGTTGAATATTGTAAAACTACATTTCTGAGTCTGCATTGGAGAAATCTCACGAAATAATAAAGCAATCTAAACCGAATTTGATATACGTGCTCAGAAAACACCAATGTTCAACTGGAATTAGAATGATTGTTTCTTCAAATTTTAGGCCAAGTGCAAGAATTTCTAGTATTAGGATTTTATTTTTAATAATCTTCTGCATGTAGTTTAGTACAAAACGTTTATTATTATCAAGTGTGGGAAGGGTAAAACAATTATTTATATAATTTAAAGTAGAAGTGGAAATAGTAGACAAACACAGAGGAAAAGGAATCTTGAAATTGGAGCATCTTCGGAATATGAAGGTAACGTACGAAGATCAAGGTGAGTATGTAAAGATAAATCGGATATATCTGCCATGTGCATTGAGAGAAGTGTAATAAGGTTGCAGAAAAGCTAAAGCACTCGGTGTAGCGCCAAAATTGCACGATCCAGCAATCAACAGGTTGCGATCACTGGCGTCAAACGCTTTTGTGAAGTCTAACGAAGTAATGGATGCAACACGGCGCGAGTCGAAAGCACGGAAGACTGCACCAGAAATGTGCAGAAGCGCTGCTGCTGTGCAGTGACCGCCGCGAAACCCAGATTGGAAAACCAGTGCTCGGTGGAACCGATAAACCTTTGCAGTTGCGAGGTACAAAGCTTTTCGAAGGCTTTGTAAAGAGAAGAAGCTTGAGGAGAATTTAAGGAAGACAGTGCCCTAAAGATAGGATCGACTGTAAAAGCTTTTCAAACTGCAGACGAGTCTCTCTTGGAAGTACGGAAATCCAAAATACGAAGAGGATATGTCAGGAAAGGAAACCAGAATAAAACCATAAGTTCAAATATCGAGATTAGAGGGATAAATCTTGGCTTCCTTTGAAGATCTAGAAAGATCTCCAAGAGAAAACTCTTGAAACACGCCAGAGTACGAATTAACGGATAAGTGGGTAATGATAAGCTGAAGAGAAGCAACAGTCACTGACGTCGACAAAATTTCACCCAGTTGGCGTTAGAAAACGTTTAAAAAAAAAATCCTCGACAACTCGTTCCACGAAAGATAACGAGTCCTCCGCAACAAGATTCCGCGCAAAGCAAAAACAACTTCGCTGGGAAACTAGCATTCCGACATTCATTAAAGCCGAAGATCGGTCTTCTGGTAGCCCAGATTAAACCCATTCGACTATAAACCCTGGGGGCACTCTCCGTTAGAAAACACGCGATAAAAGGCATGCCATCCTGATGTCCCTGAATAAAAAAAAAAAAAAAAAATGAAACCATCATCCAAGCAGCGGTAGAAATCTCGTTAGACGTGATTCGCGATGAGATCGATGACTGGCCGACTCGTTTGTAACTTTGTTCTACAACCCGGAGGACCGTCGTTTCGAATAAATTATGCACTGGTTGGAAGGTCTATTTCCACCGCTTCGGAAATATGTCTGGCCCCGGATCGCGCTATATCGCTATGCTTTTTATCGCGAGAGTACAAAGTACCGACAGAAGTTACGACGAGATTATCTAGTTCGGAGCCGGTGTTGCGCGACGGTCGTTGTCGAGATTAATGGTAGCCGGGATGTTAATGACGCGGATGCAGAGGAGGCGACTCGGCGAGGAGGCGGGCTGGAGGGAAAGAAAAAACGTCGAAATAACGAAGCAAGACACGGACAAATCTGGCAAATGATGCTAAATTGCCGACGGCGAGGAAACGCCGCGCCAGCGTTAACGCGCGAGGCGAGGCGACGCGCGCGATGCTAAATGACCACCGACGGAGTCGACTGTTAAGTAATGACGCTACAAAACGTTCCCTTCGGTAAAATGCGCGTTTACCGCAATTATGACCGCCTCTTCGCGGTCCCGCTAACGACCAGCCGTTGATAGCCGATGAAAGACACTTTGCAATCGGGAAGTCTCCGAGTTTCTTGCGACGCTAACGACGAAAGGGGAATTGTTGTTTTGGCAACGTGAGTGATTCCTTGAACCTTATTGTCTCTACTGGGTAATCTTACAGCCTAGAACTCTACGCGTTAACACATCAGAGTGTTCCGGTGTGCTGCGCGACACTAGAATTATTAAGATCTACCATTTTCTTGTTCTTGTTGTTGAAGGGTGATTTTGAACAGAAAAGAAGGTATTTAATCGAGGATAAATATTATTATATCTAATTGATGTTAATTTTGCCAAGCACCGAGTAAACGCGGCAACTTGACCGTTACAGGGTTTCTTACAGACTAAAAATGCAGGGAAAGAGTCGTTCTGACCTTACTGGAGTCGCAAATAAAAATGAACTTGTCGCCTCATGTACACGCAAAGGGAAACCCTTAAAATACTTGATATTATTTTTCTTCAAAACTTCTAAGAAGGTTGTTTTTCCCTTTTCAAAATGATTAAGTTACATTGCTCTAAGCGCTCGTATTCTCTAAGTCAGTCATTTATAATAAATTAATTATAAACTCTTTACAGGCTGATATTATTTCTCCCTGTCTATAAGCCGACACATCCACACATGTCCCTTTTCGTACAATACAAAGTCATCAATCAACCTCAATCATCCGCATGCCTCCAACCTCCTCATCCACAAATTCTCTCTCACTCCCACGTTAGATACTGCTATTAACCCAATAGAAAGTTGCTACGCAAGCTTGCACTCCTCGCAACCGGACATTGTTTATCCACGGTTGTGCATCGTTCCACGAGCTACCAGTTTACCATCGACTATCGTAGCTACTTTCGCGTGAATTCAAGTGTACCGCGCGCGCGTTGCTTTGAATTTTATCGATGAAATTTACGATACGAGCATACCTGTCCTCTCGTCGCTTTCCGCGGTAACGGGTTATTAATTATCGTTAATCGCGACAAACTTAATCGGGTCTAGCCGAGTACACTCCAGAGGAGACACAGAGGCGTGCGGGAGAAGTTTAGTCTCCGTGTTGCGTGCACGCGTTCGCACGATGGAGCGAAACGGAAGCGAGAGACGGAGAACGTAGGTGACCAGATGCTAGAAGAGAGACAGAGCGACGAGAAACGGTCTAGAGGGAGCAGAGGGGGGAAACGGAAGGATAGAAGAACGCGTGCAACACGCTCGAGAGCCAGGTACAGGTTCTTAATTTTACGGGCCATTAGCCCCGTAATTACACGGGCGAATTAATTGCGTCGTAAGTAAGTTATTCCACCCGAGGGAGAAGGGGGTAGGAAGCGAGCCGCCAACGGAAAGGAAGCCGTGGGGGAGGTGGTGAAGAAGGAGAAACGCAGGGAAGAGGGCAACACGGAGACGAAGAGGGCAGGAGGCAGAGGTTGTTAAGATCAACTGCTGTAGCGGGAACAGGCAGCGACGATCAGCGGCACCAGCCAACAGCCCTTAGCAGTAGCGCACTCTGGACCAACTTCCGCGACTCATTATGGCTTGCACAACAAATTAACGTGGCGGGCCTCGACCCCCGTGCACCGGGCGTCCTTAACGTGGCGCTTGTTAATGAACTCGACAAAGAGAACGAGAAAAAGCATGCGATCTCCCTCGATTTGCCGCCTCCGCCTCCAACTTCGCCTCCTCGCTCCGCCTTGGCTCCGACACCCCACCGAGATGTACTCTGTACACGTCGTTTAAGCGAGTTAACAAGCGGCCTTTTGTTAGAGACCTGGCCTTTTTTACCGTCGCCGGTACTATTGCTCGAACAGCTACACGAGTGGGAGAAAGAAAGTGGTCTTGTTAAGGGGGGATAAATGATCGGGCCAAGGCGTGCCGGAGGTGTAGTAATTCAGCCCGACAAATTTTTATCGACCGGCCGAACGAGCACCCTGGAAATCGATAGGTCTCTAGACTCTCGTGGAAGAAGCATTATGCGGGGGGAATAGGTGGCGAGAAGCCCTGGAACCACGTAATTGGTTCCACGGAGCAGCGTTTATCTAACGTTTTTGACCGGGGTATACTTGGACCGAGCGGCCAAGTCGGTGGACCCATCGGACTGTTGGAGTATTTACTATAATTCAATATTTTATTTCACTACAAAAATAAATGTACCGAAAATATACAATGTATATGTACAATGTATATATCTCGCACTGCAGAATAACGAAAGAGGAAGTTTAGGTTATGGCCTGCCCTCTCAAGTGCCTGAGAGGACTCTTCTACTTTGTACGCTGTCTATACAGCTAGAAATTCTGTCTGCCTTTTTCTTATAACGTTTGTCAGAATACATCATGAAAATTTTATTTGGAAACGTCAAACCTATCTAATTTAAATAAATTCCTTCAATAGATACAGATAGTACGAATAATTATGGGACTGACTGTATGTCGAATGATAATTAAATGAAGCTGATGTTGTTCTCCAATGAATATAAAAGAAAGTTTTATCGTCCTCTACAAAGGTCAATAAAGATGCTGGAAAAAAACTACGAAAATATCATCCCAGCGTGAAACGAAGGTTCGATGAAGTATGACTCGCGCAGTATGAAACGCGATACGAGGCATACATACCCTACACCGCAGTGAATGTGTTAAGTATATCTATTCGGCTATCTGGTGTCTTCCAGACCACGTGCAAAGCGGCAGAAACTGGATCGACGTGCAAATTCCCGAGAAATTTAAAGGAGGTCGTCCAGACGTGTCAGAATTCACTCCGATCGCGATACCAGCCTTACACTCGTCATTCTGGAATTTTTTAATACCACAACATATCGCTACTCTCAAATTTTCTCGACATTATTCGAGACACTGCTGCACTCACCGCACACGATTAGAAGGTAAAACGTGGAACGAGCTGCGGAGGATAAGGATATCCGTGGCATTAACGCGCGGAAAGAGCGCGATAATATTTACGGTGACGTTCGCGGAATCTAGTATCGTTTAGCGGGCGAACAATGCGTTTAGCGCACGCTACACGCAATAATAATGTCCCGAAGGGCGGGAGGGGCAGACAACGAAATCTACATTCCACGGCAACACGAATTATGAGACTGAACGTGTCTTGGAGTACTCGGCTGGCACCGTGGTTCGTGCCGATAAATCTCCAAAGTCTCTCCCCCCCCTCTCTCTCTCTCTCTCTCTCTCTCTCTCTCTCTCTCTCTTTCTCTCTCTTCGTGGTAACTTCCTTCGGGCGGCAGCCGTGTCGGCTCGTTCGCTTGATTAATCGTGTTTAAACTAGTCGCCTCCGCGCCAATTAAGACTGTACAACGCTCACGCGCAAGAAGAGCAAGAAGGAACGGGAGAGACACTCCCTAGCATCCGAGCCAGTCGTTGAAAAACAGGGACACTGTCTACCCGTGAGCCTGAAGCCGGGAACAGCCAACGGGCGCTGCCAACCGCGCAAAGGACAACAATAAATTAGTATCGGACCGATGCACGCCTCCGGCATGCTGCGTTTGCCGACTCGTTCGCGTATGATCGTACAAGGTGTCCTACTATCAACTACCCACGCCAATTTCGTCGAAATTGTCAGTCGTATCGGTGTAGAGATTAGATCGCGTCGATCAGCGATCTGCGAGAGCCATCGTTTCTTCTAATTGATGGTATACACAGTCAATCCTATACGTATTCGTACCCTCTACGTCTATCGAAGAAATTTATCTAAATTGAATGATAGGTTGATCTTTCCCAACAAATGTTTCATTATAAATACGTATACACTTGTAACGAAAAGTTTATTGGGAAACATTAAACCTGTAATTTAATTTAAACAAATTTCTTCAATAGATATCGAAGGTTACGAATACTTATGATACTAACTGCACGTGGCAAAAGAAGACGATCTATATTTTCATAATATGTGTGTCGAAGAATAAATGTAGTTAATGGGAAGCAATGACCTGATTCGTTTACAAATTTACTGAAAGTTAATGGGAGTTTGTAACTCCCATCCTTATGCAATTCTTGAGATGGTCATCTGTACTTTGTACAATCTGTGCTGTCGCAATCCTTAAAAAAAATTCGAACAAAGTTTTCCAGAAGATAGGTACATTGTAGTAAAAGTTTGTTTGTGTATTGGGCGCTTAACTCACAAAACTTGGTGTTCGTTAAATACTTGTTTTGCATTACTTTACATTTGGCTATACACTTCTCTTCTCTTCCTCGGGCATCCCCAACAGAGATCAAGCATATCTCCAGCCCCTGAGGGCACAGTAAAGAAAGAAGTTCCACCCTAGCCTATCGATAATCCCATCTCTCCACATTCTCCTATCACCAAGACCACTCGACCCTGGTCAACGATAAATCTATTCCCCCATGAATACCCCAAAGAACTCCAGCCGAGACTTACGCAACCGTCCAGGAAGGAAACACGTCGATTTTCCCGTTTTCGCTACGCTCGCGACCGATAGCCGCGATATCAGCGTCGATTAATTATGTCACCAGGTCCGCGATAAACTCGCCCACCTCTGATCCTTCTCACGCACGCAGGACAATTTCGCGAGGGTTAACTGCCGAGGCATCTACCATGAAAACACCCTGGCAATAAATCCCATCTTGCGTGCGCGGCGACTCGGATTTCCTCGCAGGATACGCGGATCGGTATAATTAGACTGGTTTACGACGGTCGATCGACAGAGAAGCATTCGGGATATAATGAGGGCAACTAAGCTACATTATCCTTCGTTGCTGTGCGCCAAACTGTATTGTTTTGTCGTTTGGTGTTTAAAAACGGCGGCTCGCGGTCGACACGCCAGTGGTTCGGAGTCGGAGATCGGAGTTGGATCCTAGATAAAATCTTTGAGCGGGAAATTTGGTTCCAAGAGTCTTTGCTTGTTGTATACTGAGCAGGCTATCGGTCGCGAGCGTAGCGAAAACGGGAAAATCGATGGTTAGGGAATGAGTGAAGAGATGGATGGTTACGAGGAAAAGAATTGAGGTCACAGGTCATCACAATTTAACCCTTTGCACTCGGATGTTCCCCTATGAGGGGACATCGTGAGTCTAAACTATTTTGTTAATGATAATAGGTTTGTTATAAAGGATTCATGTTTGCAGTGGTGTCTAATTAGAACAAGAAAATTACCTCGAAGTCGTTAAAAAAAAAAAAAGTACCCCTTAACCCCTTGATTCCACTAAAATACCTAATCCTTCAAGAACATTATCCGGCACTTCATTTTTGGAAGCTAGCCTGACCAAAACGAAGCACCGCTGAGAACCGCTGGCCTCTTAGAGCCATTAGCTATGCACTGTAGGTGCGCAAGATAAATATACAGATACACGTGCACACGGGCTGGCGGCCGAGCGTGTACGTGAGGGGCGAATATGCGAGGAGCGTGAGCGCGCGCGTAACAGGCCAATGTAAAGTCGGTGCGGCGAGGATGCAATTAATGCTAAGAAGCCGAGGTGGTTTAGCGGTCGAGCGAGCATGATTATCCTGGATAGGGAAAACGAGGGACCCGTGGAGCGAACCGTGGAGCGAGACGGAATTACCGAAGAAAGGGGAACGGAGCGAAACTATAGTAGGACGGAGAGAAAGAGCACACGAACAGGAGGGGGCTTAACCGGAATTAGTGTTACAGAATGGTGATTCCTTACCATCACGTAATGTCGTTGAATCTCGATCTTCTCCGTGGCCAGTTTCTCGCACTCGAGTTTCAAGCTGCGAACAGAGAGAAAAGAGAGGCACAGATTAAACGATGTTAGCGTACGATGTTAGGATATCGCGGCGAACGTTTCCCTTATCGTCCGAGGCTTGTAGTCGTGTGCCCGTGGCACCTAACTCTGCTCCGCGCGGAGCACGGTTAGGGTGTATTAAATTCGAGCAACGTTTACGACCGACCTTTACGTTCGCGGCGTTAACGTTAATATTAATTATCGCCGGGGTTATGTATGCGTATAAACCGGTACCCGCGAAACCATTTAAACCGTGGTCTAAACGGTACGCGATCAAGCTGTTTATGTTGTACTTTGGTCGTTCGCGTCGAACTGGCGAGGAACTTGCGATTAGGTAGCCGCGGGACTAAATACAATCGGATATCCAGTATCCATATCGTCGGGACCTGGCGGAGTCACTAATAATCGACTTGTTGCGATAGCTTCCTCGCGTGATTGATACGTAAATCAACCCTTTGACTGTGGGATGATTTTTGTTGGAAATTCTAAAGGCTCCTTAGAACAGTCAAATTTTTAAAAAAATATGGTATAGAGAACTATAAGACGAAACTTTTTTATTTACGAAACGGGATGCCTGTTTGAAATAAGATGTTTCAAAAACAATCCTGATGCCGCGCCATTTTCAATACAAAATTCACAAGATACACTTCAGAATATACATATTCATGCGTTCGAATTTGAAGTTCCTATAGTACATAATTTTTATAATAAAAATTCAAGTTCTGTGTTATAATAAAATTTGTACGTGAATAGAAGTTTACTCCGCTCCAAAAAAAGATGCGAATATCTAGTCGAATACTTTTTCTAAAACATTCGAATCCGCCTCTAACATCGAGACTTTCAGACACCATTCGAGAAGAACTGAAAATTGCATAATGCTCGAGGGTTAAGCGTAGCACACGCGAAAAATGCCGATTTCCATCGCGTCGGTATCCGTAGCACGAAAGGCAGGCCTCGCAGTCCCATCGACCACTTTAAAGTGCATATCGCTTACTATTTCGATCGACCCTCGGTCTCTTATATTCCATCGACTTGGGGGAACCTCCGCGTGTGTGTCAGCCAACTTCAAAGAGCAACGCGGCAGGGTAGTGAAAAAAAAAGGTGGTTGGAAAGAAACGAACGGAACAGAGAGCGTAAAAGGAAAGAGCTTGAAACTTCCGGCAGGGAAGTTCCACGTAGGAACAATGAGAGTTTCGATCCGCGAAACGTTGAAAAATGCAGCACCACGGCCAGCAGCCAGCCGTGAGCTTCCTTAATTCCGTATTCGCGATGGCTACGAGCGCACGGGTGTCATTACGCGTCTGCCAATAGCCGCGTTTGTCGTAAATCACTTATGGCTTTTGCGGATCGCGTGCAACCCGCGGAGGCAGCTGCGAGAATTCCCAGGCTCTTTCAATTCGCGACGTGTACCTGTCCGTTGGTGTACGTGTGTATTTCACCTACCCGAGACAAAAGAAGAACCCGAGGGAAGCGTACGAGCGGGCAGGTGCCCCATTTCACGACTCCACTTTTCGTCGTACGATTCATGGGGAGACGTGCACTTCCAAGGATGATAAAAATCGACTCTATTCTTTTGATTCTGGAAGATTCGCCTTTCGCGAGAGACCTGCGAAAATTTCAGGTCGATATTCGAGGAACTAACGAAGATACGGAGCTTCGAGCGAAGCATCGTCCCTTCGTGGCGTGCAATCGTCGACACTGATTGGTACACAACTGCTCGATAGAAGCTTCGATTGGGATGAAACTTTGGAGCTTTGCGAAGCCGTCAAACATACATTACACGAGATTTGATTAGCTACGGTAGGTCGAGTTTCAAGAGTGAAATCGGTATTAAAACTCGAAAAACAGTCGGAGATAGAGGAAAAGTATAAATGAGCGAGGCATGAAGAAATTCTCAATTTTTATTGAGACATTTTTGTTTGTATCTTCGACTGCTTTTGAATTAACACTTTCGGAGTCGAACTTTGGATCTCACTTGTTCAATTTTTTGAATTTTTAACACGAGAACCATGCACCGTGGAATATTTAAATTTGTATACGTTAGTATATACACTCTGAAGTATATCTTGCAAAATTTCTATTAAAAAATATTAAAATATGACATGGAACGAGGCGTTTTCAAACGCTATTTTTTCCACGAAATCTCGCAAACATATATTATATATAATACTATATTATTGGATGTATAATATAATATTCTTTTACATATAGCTTGCTATAATTTCTCTCAAAAATGGAAACATTAAAAAAATGGCAACGGTACGATACACCTACAGACCTGGCTATTCGTTTCAGAATGGCTTCGTTCGGATCGACTGCGACGTCCACTCTTTCAAATATTAATTCCCAAAGGGGACGTTCTCGTAGTTCGTAAAAAGAGCTCGATTCGCGTCGAACTTTTAAAGGCAACTTTTTTCATGCTCCACTTCAGCGTTGGCGCCGGTGGTACTGGTAAGCGCCTTCTACACGCGCTGCTTACAACTTGATTTCGTTTGACGCTGAATGCTCGTCTTTCAAATTTTAACGCTTCCAAGTCGTCGACTTTTAAATACTTTAAACGCGCAGCAACGAAAGGAACCGCGAACAGCTAACCGACGACTTAATGCCGTAGCATTTGTCGCTTAATGTCGTAGTTACCTAACTCGTGCCTCTTCAATTTTTTATATTCAATTTCTTAGTTATTATCGAATATAAACAGCATACGGTGGTAAATGTACAAAAGAAACGAGTAACGAAGGGTATAAACGAGAAGTTGGATAACATTTCGTTTTGTCCACGCTGTAATCAATTAAAAAAATGTTTATAAGTAAGGGACAATACAATTATTAAAAAGATTTCGATGCCAGATCTCGTAGCACTGATGGGCCCTATCTTTTATTGTCATCATTCACGAATTTACTGCAATCCTTTCGAATTACATACGATTTATAGAACCAGTTGGCTTAATTACTTTATAACGTATGCAAATACGAAAAACATATGCTAAAATTATACAGAACAAATGCTCTTATGCCGAATGAAATATTAATATAACTATATTAGTTTACGAAATATACACTGCATACGTTTTGCATACGATTTTCCGTATTAGCATACGCCACGAGTGCATGAAATCCACACCCTGCGCATAACAAATTAATGTGATCTTAATAGACGGTTGTAATAATAGGTCTGTTAAAGATCACGCTTGAATTTCCGATATTAATTTGCGGGTGAATTAGTAGCAACTAGAAGCTATAGTGGCAGGTCGCCAAACATTTTTGGAGGTTCCACTTAAACGCGGAGGAAGACGTGTCTCAAAGTACGTCCGATTTAAACAGGTTTTGCAATGCAACGTGCACTTTACTTACGCATGACATTGGTTTTGTAGAAAGTTGAATTCTTCTTTGATCCTGTCGCAAGATTCTGCGACTGTGAATTTGATCTGCTGTCCGGGTTGTGGTGGACCCTGCAAGGAAACAAGACTGATGTTAGTAACAAAATAAAATATTTCTTTACGAAAATAGAATTCATTTCGAATTTATTTCATTTTTATTCACTTTCTTCGTTTAATCGTTCGACTTGTTTTCGACCATTTAAGTTGAGTTTTTTTTTTATATATCAAGTATCGGAACGATTATTAAAGATTATCTACTTGTTATTCATTTTATCTTGTACCTTTGATCCAAACAGAAATAGAAATATGACAAAATGTACACATTGTTTGATTAATATATAAATACTAAAAAGCGTGAATTAATGTAAATGTACTGTATTTGCAACAGTGGGCTTCATTTATTACCGATTGTATGCTTTACGTTATACAACGTATTTACTTTGATCTTTTTCATATTCTATATAGTTTCTATAAATACATTTCCATATTATTATCTACATTCATTAATTGCACGTTTTCTCACGTATTCATACACGCAAACAAAGAGAGCATTAATCACCATTTGTCGTTTCTTATATCCGACGGGGTTATGCGATACGCCTTAATGTATATTTTATTTCCATATCCTCAGTGTATCTCTCTAATTACCGTAGCTTAACGTAATTTTAAAAATGTAAATTCCACTTAGTCTCGACTATTACGAACGTCACAGGCATTTCCTAATAATTCCACCAATTCTATACAATTTGTATTGATTTAAAATTGTTTAACTCCGCGTTAAAATAAATAAATAGCGTGACAGTATATCGAGAGTATGTCGCTACAAATTGCGACTTACTTTGTGAAAGCAGCGGTGGCTCGAGAATGTCTAACTACGCTATGCGTGATATCGCATTATAACGCAGCAACATGTAAAACACGAGCAAACTTTGCTATCTAAACTTTGTTCTATTAATCGTGGACGCACGTTGCACGGAAACCACCGACGGAAGATTGTACATCATTATGTTTTTAGTCGTAGATATACGTGCGAATTATTCTACCGACGTCCAGCAAAAACGCTTGGTGCAGCGGGCGTTTATTTGCTGTTTGCTTTCATTCTAATGATCGATTTCGCTCGGTTTACGCGAGGAAAACGACTACTCTCGATATGAATAAAACAGTTTTCCATGCGGTGTTTCTTCTCTGCGCCGTGGTAGGGAAAAAAGGGTTCCCCGGCTTTGAATGATTATTTCTAAACGGAAAGTAGAAACATTCAGAGTATTGGGATTCTTTAATATACAGAATTCATTACAAGTCAGTCCTTTAAATACCTTGTCTATCCATTAAAGAAAGTCTAAATTAAACAAATATGTACACGAATAAATCTTACACATGTATATATTTATAAAATGAAGAACATACTATCCTTTAACCTCTTCGGGCCCTTGACTATATATGTGGACGTTTAGTTTTTAATAATTATAATTACTGTCAATAATAAAAAGAACACAAATTTAATAATAAAGAATATCGTCCCTGAAGAGGTTAATTTAAATAAATTTTATCGATGAATATAGAGAGTACGAATACTCATGGAAGTGACTATATAAAATAAAATAAAATAAAATAAAATAAAATAAAATAAAATAAAATGTCATTTTCGTAACTGTTTAATGATGCCAACGTTAAAGATAAACCAACAAACGATTCGATTTCTCACCCATTACTCGAATCGAATTTTCCTCGTGGCTGATGCCAGACAGCGACTCAAATTTGTCACTAATTAACAGCTGGTGGATTTTATCAAAATTTCACAGCTCGTCAACGAGCATCGATCGCGCTCGCCAAGAGAACCCTGAGAGGCTCGTCGAAAGGAAGATAGCGAGCGCTCGCGTCAGAACCCGCCGCTGTATAATTAATTTCGCACAGCTGTTCACCGTGCAGAAGCGGAATGGATGCAGGAAGTAGTGCGTTAGCCGATTCGCGGCCTGAGGATTAAAAGGGGGGAGAGGGAATGAGCTGCGGCAGAGGGGTGAAATCGGACGGGCGTAGCGAAGAGGCCCGAGGAGGCGTTCGAACGATGCTCGAGCTGCTCGAGCAGACGGTAAACGGTAAAAGACATCTAAACGCCATCGGCAATCGTGCACGCGTGGACGAGCACACAATGCAACGAATGACGCATCGCGATAACGAGATTGTTCCTGGCAGGTGGAATCTCCTCACCTCCTCTCGTAACCGCGGGGATTTCCAACGATTCAAACGGCACAGAGCAATTTCACATGTGACCTGTTCGTTTATGGGAATGGTACCGTGTCCATCTTTGTGAAAGATGGAGTTTCCGCGAACAATGCTTAATATATATGTCGATTTTGTCTGTGGAAAATTTACAACGTCGAGGAGGTAATATTTCTTTCGTTCGTTGGAGTTCTCGACAATAAGGTTCAATAATGGGATTTTGATTTAATATATTTTTGATTTTGTTATATTGTTAGCATGAATCAATATATACCCCCTTTTAGAAATTTATTATTTAATTCTAGTCTATTCTATAATTTATGTATTCCTTTCTCATACTATATATGCTAGAGTGGTTCTAATTTTAATGATTTTCGAAATCTACGTTACGTACCCTTTAAACATTATTAATTTCTGTAATATTTTTAATGTTTTGAATTATATATATATATCGTATGCATCTGAGATCGGAATCTGAGTGTTAATGGATGCCCCGATGAATGTTTAAATCGGTATAAATCGGAGCGCGTGTATTATGCACGGGAAATACGGATTCATTCAAGCTGGTTCGAATTCAAAATAGACTGCGAACATCTGTTGGAGAAGGAGTGACACCTCTGCGTCGATCGACCGAATTAGATTTTATTCAGTGAAAGACGGTGTGTGGTCGATAGTTCGTTGACTATGTTCCAATCCTCTGTGCCGAATGTAAGTATTGCCACAGAGCGATTCTCGGAATCAAACTGTGCGGCTGTAGACGCGAAAACAATCGTTGCAAATGTTTCATTTTCACCATAGTACAGCTTTGTCGTCGCGATACAATTTTATGAGGTAATTAATTAATTCTTCAAATGCTTTAATTTCTTTAAATATTAAAAATTAAGCACAACTAAATAAAAATTAAGCACAACTAAATAAAAATTCAGTTCACGTTCTCAAAAACATCCAAAACAAGACCCTAAAAGCTACTCGATTCTTTCATCCAATCCCACGACCCACTACCAATGGTTCCACGGTCCCCCGAGTCGCGACTCGCCGATTTACGAGTACAAGCTGGAATAGTCGTCTCGAAACACACTCGACGTCTCTGTAACCGTGGAGAATTAGAGACCGCGGCGTCGTGGTTATCTCGGCGTAAAATTCAACGGTAAATTTCCCTGTCGAAACATTTGCGTTTCCAAGACAGGACACCCCGTATAGTAGTTCTCGTTCGTTACATCGCTCAGCATGCGCACACGATTACACGGAGCGTACAGTCGGGTTATAGTCAACACGATCTCGACTGACTGCAACGGCTCGCAGAGAGAGAGCAAGTGTTAATTACATGTTTGCGGTGTCCGCGAGGATTACACGCTACAACCGAAACTATGAACTTGCGAACGGCGCACGCGTGTACGTGTGCGTTCAGAGTACACGTGGGGATCCCCTTTGCACGTGTGGACGAGAACGATGGTGGGAACAGTCAGAAGGGGATGGGTGGGTGGATGGTGTTCTGCTAACTACGTTCGTAGCCCTGCCTACGCAAGCGTTGTCCTTCGACCGACCTGTAGATCGTGTCGGATACGCTCCCTACAACCATAGTCGCGTTAGCCGAGTTGTATAACTCTTGTACCCGTGAAAATCGATCGACGCGACGTCGCGAAAACGATCCCGGAGAACCTATGTCTTCGCAGACGCGAAGATGACGGTTGGGGATTGTTAACCTTTTACGCTCGAGGCCTTTTTTTTTTCTGGTATCCACCGGCAACTCCAGATGCTTTCTTAGCATTCTATGTACTTGTTTATTATTTGTCAGCTCACTGTGTATCAAATGATTTTTATCCATCAGAAATTGAAAATTTGCATACCAGATGGCAAAAGATTGTTGATAACAAGGACGATTACATAATTGTTACAAAATAAAAACATATTACAAATTTACTAGTTTGAATTTAACGTAAAAGAAACGACATTTCTGGAACCCTTAATACGTCCTTCTTCGTCAAAAAACCCAACTTTCCACTATTTGTAACACAGGTCCTCCATCCAGACACCTATTCAATCGTTTTACGCCATCTAAAGTCCTCTATTTCCTTGATGGCGTCAATTATTCCACGTAGCTCGACGTCGAGTCATAAATCTCGTCTCGAAAACGGTTGGATAATTTGCGAAACTCGGTTGATTACTCCTCCGATGAGGAGAAAACAAAAAGGTACGCTGATTAATCAGCGTCTGGATCTCGCTAGAAGTTCCACGAGCCAAAAGCGTGCGGTATCCTCGAGATCCACCGTGGAGAGGGGCAAGCAAGGAACGTCCTCGAGGAGAGAAACGAGATGGAAGAAGGCTAGCGCCCGGGTTTATCCGGGGTTAAGCTAGAAGTGCACCACCGCGGATATCTTCCTGACCTCGATCGCAATCGAGTCGTAATCGAATGAAACGAAGAGAGCCCGGGTCCATGGGCATGGTTCAGCTGTCGACGAGAACCGAATCGATCGCGGAATCCAGTCTTTTAGCGCCAAAGAGTCTCTTGCGGTTCCCTTCACGGCTCCCTGGGCTTTTCAGTCTGCCCCTTTATCCCCGCGAAAGGAACCAGGGAATCCAAAGGGATCCGATAAAATATTGAATTCCAGCGCGAAATCAAGACCTCGCGTGCTACAGTATAGACTTGATAAATGCAAGAAAAACGGGACCCAAGCATTGCATTTATTCGATCGAGGTTTCTATTCTATGTTTACATTTGGCTCGAGTCGAGCGTCGAACTTATAAAAGGACAGAGAGTGAAAAAGAAAGAGGTCCGTGGAAAAAAAGCAGTCGGTAGAAGCGTATCAATAGGATAGGGTCATATTACACTGCTCAGTGGTGGGGATAGTCATCTT